TATAAACTACGCGTCTCGAGTCACTACATTCATGTCTAACTGCTACAATGTTTCTGCTTTATAAGTGAGTTGAGAATTTTCCCGTAGTTTAACACTGAAGCAATAGACGACTCACGAGATAACCGTACCAGCCATAATCAGCCAGTCTATCGTATCGAGTGAGTCTCAAAATGTATCGCCTGTACAATCTAATATTATAAGTGGCGACATTTATATTATACGTAAACGTTACGCTTTCCATTAATCTTAATGTTAAGTGAAATGCTCAGAGTGCTATTTTCCCTCAATGCTGACGCTTGCTTCATTTGTCAATTATAAATATTAAATAGCTCTAGTTAAATGAAAAAATTAAAAAGGACATCAAATTGTATGACTCCACCAGGGATGATTAGGACAAAATTTCAATTGTGTATATTGTCAGCGGTCATTCTCTCACAGTCGTCTTTGAATACACTTTAGTATATAGACAAGAAACAGAAAATGTTTTTGTTATGAGAACTCCAGCCATTTGTGTCACGGTTTGTATATGTTCGGTACTTGAAGGGCTCGCCCGAGCTGTTCGCACGTTATGAGAATCAACGAGTGATGCGCTGAGTTCATTATGCTGTGCTTGGCACCGATTATGAATTTCATAGTTTTCGTGTGACAGAGTAGAACAAGTATCCTTGCAGGTTGTAGAAACGTTAACAGAGCAAACAGACTTAGAAAACAATATCTACTAAAGATTTGCCAACAAAGAATACATAAGCGATATTTTAAAATTAAATTGGGCTAGTTTACTACAGAATCTTATAGCACGAAAACGAAGCAAGGCAAACGAATTTCTAAGGATAACTGTTTTTTAACGGTAATGTTTTAAACGGTAACGATAATTTGAAGCTTACTTATGAGGTGTGTCATTAATAACGTGATTAATGAAGCTCAGGTTTATATTGAATTGCTGTTCCGGGACCGCATTTGTGTGTTTCTTGTTTCTGTTTTTATAATTGATTACAGGCTGTCCAGCTAGGGCGCTGGTACTGAAAAATTACAGCCGTCACGCACAGAAAAGCTTGTCTAAAGAACACACAGCTTCACCTTTTGAATCTTACATAGCAGTTTATATTAGAATATTTACGAAAAACGTACATTTATTGTCTCCTTTGTTGGTTATTCATTTGCTGATAAAACCAGTAAAATTGAAGTAATGATTGCAAACGTTGAGAAAGCCCCAGAATTCTCTGCTCGTAATTTAGAATATGAAACGATTTTTTATGATGACGACAGGTCTAGCCTTGTCCATTGTACTAGCGTACGTGTTTTAAATTTTTATTGCCTTTTTTAGAACAAAAAAATCGCGACGAACCGCCATTTTGTACGAATTTATTTTATTATTATTATTAATGTATTTTATTGAACAAATCAACTTTGTCTCGGACACTTCCAATCTTAACTTCTCAAATACATTTTGAGCATTAGGTATTCATGTTTTGCCGAGTTTTTTGTCGAGTACAGTTGATATGTTACATATGAGATAGATTATGCATTGATCATTAAGGCTCTGAATGTCCTTCGCGCATTGCGCGATACTCATGATAGATCGCTGTTTGGAGTCGCCCAGATTGGTCCACAATCCACCGAAGGGCAGCCATAGATTTAGTAGAGACGGCGTGAAGTTCTTGTGGAGAAGAATCGACTTCGACGAATAAACGGATCAGTGTTCGATAACATAGTAGTTGCTAGAATTCGGAGCACTATTTAGCCTGATGGACGCAGGTTTATATATGATAAACATGTTGGCTGTCATGATTAATACTGCATGGAATACACTAGCAGCGTTACTATCAGCTAGCAAGGCCTGTCTGTTACCAACTAATCTGAAGAGGATTTAATAGAACGGTAATCTTTTGACAATTCTAATATTTCAGGTTCGACTATATGTGTCGGAGTAACTAGAACTTATCATACGTCGGTATAGAAAATGTGTGACTTTTTTTTTTTGAAAACATCAATCGATTATTGTGTAAAACTGTCGAGAAAAGCTATGCTTACGTTGAAAAAATCATCGGGGGTGAACTTTGCCGAGTTCAGCTCTTCCCAACGATTGTAGCCGACACCCTTTTGAAGATCCGAGCAGAAACTGCCGCTTGCCAGAACTTGAATGCGGTGTCGATATTCCTCGAGGATCGGGTAAACTTCTTTTGAGTTATTAGCCGTTAAGAAGTTATCAGTCAGAAGATCTAAGTAGGGTACAAGCTGCAAAATACTTCGCAGTAAGAAACCATAATAACACTTACATGCAGCTAGCAATATGACCATGTATCGAAACCGCTTTACTATCAGGTAAGCACAACGTATAGTACAACAAAGTATGCTTGTGGGCACGGTAAAAGATAATAACTACTTCAAGACTGCTCTACGATAGACAGCATCATCTTCCAGAGACATTTTACCCTTGATCAAATTTCGGTATTGTAGCTTGGTCATAGTTGGTCAAATTTCATGCTACTGTAGCTTTGGCAATATTTCTATATCGTTACCATATAGCTGATGACTCGATATATCATTGTTGAAAAAGTAAAAATAAACTGAATAACTTACACGAATTATGTTAAAATAAAAGCAAATCGAGATGTTTCTGTTACATTTTACGTAAAATATGTTACATTCGACTTCAGTTTCTCTCAGACTTTTCTGTTAGTTTTTTCGTATTAATATCTCTATAGAGAGTTATGGTCAATGACCCAACTGGGTATCCTCGACTCAGTCGTTTTGAACCGGAATTGTCGTTCGCAACAAATCGTGTTAGGCTTAAATCTTCCTGACCATAACTTTACAAGTTTGTTGGTTTTTAAGTAGTGGAGAAACATATGGGACCTAAAGACACCTATTTCACGACGGATGGTAGAAATGCATTCCAACTTATCCATTAATAAATAAATATATTTTTCAATCTTTGTATAATAAATATAATAAATAATAAAATAAATAAATAATACAATAATTGGACACATCATTTAACTATTTGTTAGATACATACGTTAAAAGCGTTCTTGTAACGTCGACGGTAACTATAAACCCAGACGAACGAAAACTTGTGTTTGGAGCTCGTAAGAGCACTTTTTCGAGGTTAATTTTCGAGTGCAATTATTTGTCGATCGAGTGTACAAGATTTGTGCAATACCTTGTGCAGATATACGTTAGGTTAATCTTGTGTTTTTACATAAACGACTGATTTAGATTAGTTACGTAAGAATACATAATGTGTAGTTGTCTAACGTCTATTTCAGAATTTTTCACATACACTACATTTATTAATCTACGCTTAAATATCAATTCTATGCTAACGATAAACGTTTTTTTTCTTTTTTTATATACTACCCCATAAATGTATTAAACAGAAAATCTGGTGCTTACGAAAAGCAACCAAATATTTTGCAAGTTGGTTTTATTCTGGCGTTTGCTGTTACCAAATCGTGTCTCGTTCCCACGTATGCTACATAAACTATATGCTCTTTTCTAAAGAACTAAACATTAAAAAAGAACAAACACTTTGTAGGCTCATTTTAGTCTGGCATATTTTTCTAAATCAGTATCCAAAATTAAACAATCGTAACCGACACACATTTGGCACGAACCTTCTCTTTGACGCTGCATGTGCCAACTAGAAAATTGAGGGGTGTAAAAGATTGCCCACTATAGTCGGAACACAAATGAGCCCCAAAAGTCGAATAGGGCCACAAAATCAAGAATAATATGCTCAAGATAACGAGTCTACTGACAGTATTGTCTGACAACATGGTTTCACAAGCAAGTTCCTACATTGGTAATTCACACAATTGTGCACTGTGAATCACCGTACTAAGCACACACTGTTAAAATGTCATCGAATAACAGGAAGCCAATGGAAAGCTGCAGGAGAAGATATATGCTGTTGCTGTCGACTTATCGTTGGCGATTTCCTGCTAGTCTACCGAGATACAAGCAATCGCGCTAACATGTTAATCTGTCCTCAGCCAGCGACAACAGAGAAGGAAAGAAAAACGTGGACCCAACCAAGAAGAGCGCTAAACACACTAAACAACATTCAGCACTTACTTATTAAGGAAGTCCTACGCCTAATTAATCTATGTCACGATTACGACTTACTAGACAAGCATCGTTGGATCATCAGGGTATGATAACAAGAATGCAATAGCTTCCTTGTAAGCAGACAACACAATATACGCAGAAATGTTACCTTGTCTTTTAGGCACTTCAAATGAATTATGAATGCATAGATCCTGAAATAGGATAACCACATAGGCTACTATAGATCAAATTATTCTTTCACTACTACAGCATAAACTCAAATGATCCTGTCTGACCGATGGTTAACCTTTTTTGACAAAATTATTTCCTTTCTACCTCTTACGTCGTCTTTGTAACTCTCTAACCAACACTTCCCTATGCGAAGGCGGCAAAGGATAGCTCAGCCTCTTCCTTACTCAAGAATTGAATCCAAGTGTTTATGGTTTATCATATTCGTTCCTCCTATAATTAGGTTTCTAAAAGTCAAAATTCATTTTACATCGTATCAAATGTTTAATTTTAAGAGCTATTTTTAAGAACTAATATTAATGGTATTTCTTGCTACTAGAAAAATTACGTCAGTAATGCAGTTTAATTTGAATATTTATTAGTATCTGTTACAGCTTTCGTTATATATTCCTTATATACATATACAGATAGGTAAATCAGAGCAATTCGCATAATAACCACAAGGACCACACACGCAAGAAACGTTTCTTTGCTCCGGGACACGTTGTGTGGATTCAATACGACTTGTTTTAAACTATCCACTGTTGCCCCCATGTTCTTCTTCCGTTTCTCCGTTTTTCTTACATTTACCCCCCCCCCCCCCTTCTCACGTTCCTCTAGACCTCCGCTTCTTCTATTCTCAACAGCGTCACGCCGCATGTTCTCTAGGGGCTTTTTTACCTACGTAAGTACGCAGACAATCCGACGACTCAACTACAACCAATGCCAAGAGCTGGCGACTCCGTTATTCCATGCCTAACTCCCTCTTCCATTCCGTCTGTCCCTGTCTATTAAATAATAATAAACTTATATTTTTCGAATTTAAACGAACTCGCTAACATGTACTGCTATACGCATGCCGGCACATCATTCGGTCTTTGTTATTTTTCCTTTTCTCGCATTCTGTCGATGTTCCGGCTGCTTGACTGTCTGTATTAGATCCGCATGCAAATACATCATCTTCCAAGAGGCCAAACAGCACAAATCATAGTCTACACTGATACATTTGCTATGTGCGGCAAAATTGAACCAAAATATGCATTGCGAGATAGTCATTATTAATATATATGTACGTTTGTTAATGTCGTGTTCCTTCTAGTTCTCCAATCTGTTTAATTATTTTCATACTAAGATTCGATATTTTCTAACTAGGTGTAATTGGTTCATCCTTCTTTTCACCCCAGCTAGTTATATAAGAGCTTTCCATTCGTCTGTGTTATTCATAACCATTATCATCATAAAACCATAACATCATCATCACCCGCGTTGTTGTCGTGCATCAGCGCATTTATACTGTTCTGCTGTTATTCCTTGCTGTATCTGTATAAGGTCGACCCGTACAACTTACAATGTTATCCAGACGTTCACATGTTTCACTGACATATATCTTGACCCCAATTAGAGAATTGGCTTCTTGAAGCTACCTTGAAGCATCACCTCGATGATGTCTACTAGCAAAGCAAACCTAAATAATTGTCCACTCGAGCCAGGTATATTCCACGACACGGTTAACCTTTTCTGAAGTTTCCACTCGTTCTTTGTTTGTTTGTATGTGTTTTACTAGTAGCGATAAATGTCCCGCAGTTCAATATCAGCTGTCCGGTCGACCCCTCATTAGTACATCCTTCATCGTCGCTTGTTGTTGTTGTTGTTTCGAGCTTGCCGAACCTGTCGTCAGGCTGTTTGACGCGCTGTTCCGGCCACTTTGCTGTTTGGCATCCTGCTCGAAACCGTTGCCGTTGCCAGCTGTACTGCCATCAACTGCTAAACAGGGAAGTGAACTCCCCCGCTGTTGGTTCCGCTATTGGAACTCCTTTCGGATGACCAACTGCTTTGGAACTTCCCACGGGAAGTTGTCGCGTCCGAAATGGCCATATACTGATGTCTTTTGGTAGAATGGCGTCGTCAGCTTCAGGTCGCGCATGATGATACCGGGACGAAGGTCGAAATTGTCGCGGATGATCTGAAGTAGTTCTTTCTGCGAGTACTTAGATGTTCCGTATGGCAGAACCGTGATCGATAGGGGCTCGGCAATACCGATCGCGTAAGAGACTTGGACGAGGCAGCGTTTAACGACGCCAGCTTTAACAAGTGACTTTGCTACCCAACGAGCAGCATAAGCAGCTGAGCGATCCACTTTGGTGGGATCCTTACCAGAAAACGCTCCTCCACCGTGAGCTCCCCATCCACCGTACGTGTCGACGATAATTTTACGACCCGTGAGGCCAGCGTCACCCATCGGGCCACCCTGTACGAACTTGCCGCACGGATTGATGTGTACGACTGTTCGACGGTCCATAAGCTTGTTGGGGATACAGTGCCTAACTACCTTCTCGAGTACATTGTATCGAAGTTCCTCAAGCGAGATTGAGTCTGAATGTTGAGTCGACACGACAACCGTGTGCACTCGCTGAGGGATAGCGCGTCCATGATCGAAGTAGTACTCACACGTGACCTGCGTCTTAGTGTCTGGTCCTGCCCAAGGGAAAGTTCCATCTCGTCGCAGCTCGGCTAATCGGAAATTCAGCTTGTGGGCCAAAACTACCGTGAGGGGCATGCATTCCTCTGTTTCATCGGTAGCATATCTACCAAACAATTAAAATGAGAGCAGAACATTGATTGAGAATGTAAATAATATAAAAATTAAACGATTTTGTATTCGACCTGGAATGACTCTCATTAATAATTATAATATCATATAATTTTATACTCTTACCCAAACATAAGACCTTGATCCCCAGCACCGATGTCCTCCTCGCTTTTTTCGACGTGAACTCCGGCTGCAATTTCGGGACTTTGCTGTTCAATAGCTACTAGCACGTTACAAGTGCGGTAGTCGAAACCCTTTTCTGAAGAATCATAACCAATTTTCTTTACGGTTTCGCGAACGACTTTCTGGTAGTCAACGATGGCCTTCGAAGTAATCTCGCCGAAAATCATAATCATGCCTATAAAGGGATAAGATATGTTTTGGTATTATCTTAATACACCCCAACGAGACAGTGCAAAATGATAGGTTAAGAACAGTCTGCTTGATTTTAAACACTTGTTTGGATTCGAAAAATCAACAATCTAAATGACTATATTCATTCGTATAGGGGGGGGGGGGGGGTCAAGATTATTTCCATGCATGACTATTATATATGAATTGTACCGCAACGTTTATACTACACATTCACTTTACGATTGCGGCGTTGAAGATAATTAACCCTTAAAAGTTTGACGCAAGATCACTAACAGTTCCAGAAAATTACCTTCCACACAGTTTCTTTCGTTCGGGTCATTTAATCATGTTCTAAAGACTCATGGTAAAATATCAAGTACGTTGTTAAGTACTAGTAAATGGTCTTCCATTACTTGGCTTAAGAGTTGTTAGAGCGGCAAAAACAAAATTTATACATTATTTTTAGAACAATTACTTGACTGGCCCAATTCACGTTAGTCCTGGATATATTTATACCGTTTCTCACCTGTCTTGGTCGCAGTCTCGCAGGCGACCTTAGCTTGGGGGTCCTGCTGGAGGTGAGCGTCAAGAATAGCATCAGAAATCTGGTCACACATCTTGTCGGGGTGTCCCTCACCGACTGACTCCGAACTGAACAGGAACGTCTCCACCGAATCATCGTTCATTTCTTCCGTATCAAAAACTGGGTGAACAGTCTGTTGCGATGATGGGGGCATAACTCCGTTTGTGATGCCGTTGGCAGAATCCTATATCGACCCATAGGTAAATAGAATCTATCAGATTACTTTGCGCATACGACTGCAAGGCTACCTACATAATATGGCGAAACTAGAGATCGCGTGAGCGCCCTTGAGAGGACGCAAAATGACCTAAGAAAACTTAAATAACGGGTGTAACAGAAGCTTAGTTTACACCTATGGTCTGAATGCTTTGACTTTTGTGTTCGGAAACCGCTGTTACGCATTGCGTCGGATTACACGTCAGGTCTGCCGGAGCATACATTTCGTGACATTTTAAGCTCGGGTGTGGCCTACAAGTTTCTACAAAACTTTAATGAAGCGTATGTTATAAAAACAATGATAATTGCTACACCGTTCTGGCACATAAACAGCTATATTAGAAACTTAGAAACTAAGTAATATAAAAAGTAGCTTTTATTATTAACTTCCTGCAGTTAAATCTCCAGAAGATTGTTTAGAGCTACGATCTTCCACCTTATAAATGCTCGACGTTAAATGACACTAATTTTACTGTTTTGGCAATCGTTAGTTCACTTGTGACTATAGTAATCGTTCCTTGGCAGGACACGACCGTAGACTGAAAACAATGAATCGGCCTGAACCTATGTTACGTCAATCTTGTACCTACGCTAAACTGCATTGTCCTCTTACCCCATTGTTGCCGTTGGCGTAATGCGAACTCATGGCGCTTATCTTGTCGTACCGCTGTCGAACCAATCCGATCGGCACCCTACTGAGATTTTTTTGCTTCCTTTGTTGGTACAGTCTTAGCCGGTGGCCTTTCCTTGAACGCGAAGGTCAGCTATCACAGAGATCTTCTATGACATGCCAAATCCAGTAGGCCCTCGTCCGTCTATCGGCGGATATACAAGAAAAACACTGGCTCAGGTTAGTCTATTAACGTGTCAATTAGCACTAAAGAGGATTTATCATTTACTGAAGAGATCGGATGACGTCTCTTTGGTCTGACAACACGCCGCGCGCGATTCAAATTTCTCACTCGTCCAATTACATAGGTTACTTGAATATTCCATTTATAATAAAACATTTGATGTGTCATTTAAAAACACCACACGCGTAATACTTAGCAAGGAGTACCCTTTGACTTAGTCAAGTAAATAAAATAGTTGCAATTCGAAATACGGTAAGATACAAGAAGGAGGCCGATCGTTCACTAAATGAAACCGATAACGAAGTTCTGGAGGAGGAGGGACCTGGTTGAATGGAAGATCGTTTTCTTTTATCAAACACTACCTGGATATTCGTGGAACTTCCTTTAAACTGCATGTTGCTATCACTAGTTACTTTTCTAACTTATTATTACGCCCTTGTTCCTCGAATCCTTTCTCTGGTTGATGATCTAAACCATAGAAGCATAGGTCTCAATCGTAAAAAGAACAATCCTACGGTCTCCTTTTCCCGTACTGGTCCACCTGCGTCACGCAGGGTATCGTACTCATATAATCTTAAAGTTTGTCTAAATTACGGTACTCCCGAGGTTTATCCTAAGACAGATCCGATCTTGCGTTACGCTTTCCTTTGAGCCATGAGCCGCAAAGACTATACGTCATGCAGGCTCGGCATAACACGATAGCGAAACGGCATGAAGATAAAAATGACGTTGTGATATACAAGATACAGTTCAGTCGAAGAAAACTTCATGTGATCTACGGTAGGCTTAAGAAACTGCATTGCAATGAGTGATTCATGTACGGAAAAGTGTTTATATGGTATTTCGAGTCGTCAACAAAATGAATGAATGATTAGATAGATAGGCGCAATCACCCACAGGGAGTAGAAAAGTCATCGAAAACTAATTGATCAACTAAAACAACGAACACATGACTACGATGCAAAAATGGAAACAACGGTGCACAGGCGTTCGATTTTGCCGTAACCAACAGTAAAAGTGTTGGTCAAAATGCCGAAAAATAGGCACTACGTACTTTTTCATTATACCACCTTATGGCACATTATAATCAAAAAGCCCTTCGATAAGGAAAACCACAGTGTTAAGTTGAGAGCGCCGAAAAATCTGCGATACAAACGGCAGGGATCACAGAATGAAATGTCAGTAATTTAACACCGTGCAAACTCAAATTTTCGACGACAATTAGAGACCGTAAGGGAGAATACGGCACCCACCTCAAAGCCAGGATGAGTTGCGTGTAACTGGCTGACCAATGGTTAGGCGACAGTTGTCCATTTTGTTGTTCAGAGTGGCGAGTGCTCAACCAATCCTCGTATTACATTCGAGAAACTACGTTCGTCCTCGTCATCTAGATTGATACAATTCATAGGCTGGACCTGCGCGCTTGATACACGCGGTGATATCCATTAGAGGTTATCAATGCACCTCGAATTCGATCTGCGTGTCACTACACTCATGTTGCACAGCTCAATAGCCTATCTGTGTGAAAATAAGTTTCTTACACTTAAAAGGACAAGAGCCACTCGCCGGTGGGGATGCAGTCAAACCGAGATTACTTGGCAAAGTTAGCCACAAAAAGGGATGCAAAGGCTCTCCTGTATAAGGTAAAGCTACCCATTTACCTAGGACCACTTCAACAGCATCGGCCATTGCCCATTCGTGTTCGTATGGTGACGCGCGTTAACGTAGAAAAAATACGCTCACGTCGCCAGGAAGACGTGACACTTTGCATACCATTATACACGCCAAAGAGAAGACGGCCAACTACAAGTGCGCTTGATTACTTGGACAGCATAACTTGATAAAGAAATACTTTTAAAAAGGCTTTGCGCAACGAGAGTTGCGCTTGCGACCGCTGGCTATGTCGAAAAGGTAACACCAAAATGGTAGCGGAACGTAGTGAAACTGTAGCAATATCAATAGGTTTACCTAGACCACAAAAGAGCACACATGCTCATATGCAACATATAGCCCAGTAGACTTCATTAACTAACCGAATACTCCAATTGTATTGTAATCTCAATCATGGTGTACGATAATTAGATACGTCATGCTTAGGAGGGTCGACTTTAGCACGTGCAGTTAAATCTATTTATAAGACTAGGTGCAAGTTAAAACTCTCCGTCCTTAATCAGGCTTAGGATAAGATGGCAAAAGTTCTGCTAGATCAACCGTTGTAGTGGGGCGTTGTTATCTTGATAGTGAATAGACCAAGTAACACTAATTGTGGTTTTCCTCAAAAAACTATTTTCCGCTTCGACACTTCCGGGGATCACTAATAAGTTCGCTGATATATACTATAGCGGAAGACTCCACATTAACATAAGTCATGGACGGCAGTTGCAAGACGATGCTACTAAATTCCAGGTTCGATATCGTATGGATAGATGCTATATGTCAGCCGTCGTAGCTGGGTGGAAGCCAAGAAACAACATTTAGCCGCGGTTAGTATGCGAGGTTAGTCAAGTCTTGAACCAGTTCTTTGTTTTTTACTCTGGTTAAGTCATATAGGCTACGTGCCGGTAGCTATGCAGGAGCCCTCCTTTTAAATGTTGAAAGGCAAATTATGTCGAAATGAGTACACCCTGAAGTAAAAAATAAAATTTCCTATCGTACGATTTCCTTAATTGCAGCCTTCAACCCGTGGCATGAAAGCCACTTTGGGACTTTAACGTGAAAAGCATGACCAGCTTTTATAACAGCCGGACAAGGTTTCAAGGATACCAGTATTTCTGAGCTTAGATGGACGCGGCTATTTACCCAAAAAGCGTGACCTCGACATCAAAATCAGTAAGCCGCTACAGACTAGATATGAAAGATTTTCAGTTTTATGTATATAAGCATTGCGCCTGTGGGCTGGTGATCAGCACGAAATGAAATGTTTACGCCTGGTGTCGAGCCTAAACCATTACATGCTGTTAATTTGAGCCCTCATTGGGTTTTTGCAGTCTGTATCCTACATTTGCCAAAAGCCATATCAGAAGCCTACATTTGAGCTCATGTCAATTAGATTTTTTAACTAAAATTTCAACTATGAAAAGGCGGTTGATTCAGCTGTGAGGATTTCTCTAACTCTGGCGATTCAAATTATTTCCGGGAATATAGACGGCAATGTTAAGGGTCCTAAATAATTACAGGTAAATGATGTAGTTAGAGAGAGAATGCAACCCAAGAGATGAAAACAAGTAATGAGAATATAGTTTTTTCATGCAAACCTGCGGTAACTAACGACTGCTCAGGCGATCGTTACTTACCAGCTGGTCACTTTAGCGTTGGCGAAAAACTATACGACAAAGAAACCATTTTGTCATGGATTTTTCCGGCGAATAAAACGGGGGAGAGGGAGGGATGAGCGGCGTCATCTCTTGAATGCAAGTTGGTGATCATTAGTGCTGTTTGAACCAAAGAAAATGCTGTTTGCTGTTCGCTTTCGATTTAAGCAGAATAATAGATCATTCTGTAAAGCACAGAATGTGGCATTATGCCACAGCCTGTGCTAAGCATCAGTATAATGATTATAATTGAATCACATCGTATCATCTGCATATATATAGTTGCATCGAACATGTCTTTATATTATAAATAATCGACTACCTAATGACACGTCCACGTGTCATTCGGCCGTCGGCTGGAAAAGGGTTTTAGGTGCGATCAAAAGTAAATCTGCACACAAAAAGAACTCGATGATGCCTTATTTCGTCTTATGATAGGACAACCGGCTGACCGGGATAGATTTGCCATCTTATCAACTATATATGCAGGAGCTCTACAGAAACATACTTACAAAAGCGGTATCTTAGACAAGCTTAATCGGGCGGCGGCTGAGCTTGAAGGTTAGTGTAGATGTGTTGATAAACTGCAAGCTTAGAAGTTGTATACTACAGTAATTGTATATAAACATTAACAACAACAACTGCATGAATTGTACCGTAGTAACGTATTCAACATTTTAGTTAGATGTCCTTTTTCTAAGTCAAATATTCTAAAAAATTTAAGGATTGGATTTAGTTCAAGGTTTGTCGTTGCTGCCGTACTGCTAGACCTGTAATCGCCGGTATTGAAGCAGATTTATACGAAGCAGACATAGCTGTCGACAGCAGACATAATTGATGTTACAACAGTACCGAAAACGAAAGAAATCGATTTTTATGTACAAGGCGCATCGAATACCTACATTAGGATCACCACAGTGAAAATACAGATCCAAGCTATCATAACGAGCACAAGGCACCTTAACATACCTAATTTCGTTATAGTACAAGTAACATCTTGATTTAATCAATCTAGGAATCATTAAGAGGATGGGGCATCTAAATCCGGACACCTTCTTGGTATTCTCTTAAGAATCTGTTTACGAACAGAAATTCAACGATTTTTTTTTTATATTCTGTAAGTGCCATTAAGCAACCATATTTATTCAATATAAGCACCATTCACTGCCGTTAGGCCTTCTAGTCGTGTCTCAGACTACTCATTTTCAAAATATTGCTCCGTCAATCGCAAATAGTTAAGGTATCCGTGCGTCAAACGATATTAATAGGCGCAAACTCGTGGAAGTAACTACGTCATATAAAAAAAGTGTGATTGTTATTTTTCTTGATAGCTATTCGAAGGTCACACAAATGCAGGCGCAAAAAGATGCAAAAAGTGTTACAAAACTGACCGTTGAAGCTAAACTCGACAATTCAATGAGCAATTGATATTATACTGTCCAAGTGTATTAAAAATGTCCTTTCAAGTGTTTTTGATAAATCTTTTTTTAAAACAATTATTTCCGATTTTCCGATTTGCCTCATGGAAGTCTTCCTCGGGTTTCGCATGAGAAATCGCATGAGCAGTGGTAATAACATCGACTGTCGATTTCGAGTACAAAAAAGTTCTCATTCTCATTGACACTCTGACATGAGTAAAAAAAGATGTGACAACAGTTAAACTTTGCTCAAATTGCGAAAACTGCTTCTGGTAGCAAGCGTAGCGAATAAACCCGTGTCCGTTATGACAAACAGCCCGCCAAAGTTCGCCCCAATTTAAATGCCTTATCCTGTACATATGTGTTCAGAAAGATGGTAAAAGGTAAACATTCTAATTCGAAAATACCTACGAATGCACGAACGAGATTTAATCGAATTAGTAGGAAGTAACGGTCGCTATGTAAGCAAGCTCAGCTGCCAACTATGTTGAGCCAATAATGTAGCTAGAATATTAAGCTGCTTTATTACAATGATGATACGTCTCACGAAGGTTAAATGGACAAATGTTTCTAAGAACGAGTAAATTGTCGGTTGAGTATAAGAACGACCAGCGTGAACAAACTTAAATTTTATGATTTGAAGCATGTATGGAATCAAATATGCGTGCTTGAAATAACAAATACAGCGAAAAAGAAGGCTAATAGGGTAATAGAATTCTGCTCGTGGTCTATAACAAAGGCAATAGACTGTCTTTGGTTTGATGAAGTCTAACGACGATGTTAGTCTGAGTATTACAGTCGTTCTAGCTACCGCATTACATGTGTGATTAAATAATTGTCTCACTTTATCAAGTGTTAAACATTCGATGGGGATGCTTAAGGCACATAAGTGGGTACAGAAAAGCCTAAAATAGCGACAGGAAATATCCAAAAAAAACTGCAAAACACTGTTCTGAATAAGAGCCAAACCTATGAGCGAATAGTCCAGTACTTGCTACCAAAAGAAACACAACAATACATGGTACTATCGAAGAAATACGAAGTCCCATATTGTTCAAGGGCGGTTTTCAACGGATCTGAGGATTATTACGTTGTGTAGCGTCCGACCTTAACGTCCTTGTCAAAATGCGCGCTAATGCAATCATTATAGTAGTATGTTACCTAAACTAAGTTAATTAGTTAATCGATAATGCAAATTTAAAACAAGTCAAAGTATAAAAAGTGTAAAAAAAAGTTCTTTAAGGTTCTCCCACAATGGTCTCCCGAAAGACTCTTGCTCGTCATAGAGCCCTAACTAATTGATAGACAAAACTGAAGTTACTCGAACGGTACGCAAACAAAATATACAATTGAAACCTGCGAAAAAACAATACTCGCAGTCATTTATAGTGCATTTTTTTTCTATGTCGTTGCGAAAATGATCTTTATCAATCTGATAAGATAATAAATGTAACCAGTACTATCGAATAGCCCGGCTGGATTTCAATGAAGACACCTGCGATGGTAACCGACGAAATTCACTCATTTGAAGATGCTCGTCAGGCAGCGCTCTGAAGTGAAGCGATTAATACGATATTTAAGAACAGTGGCTTGGAAATAATAGGGCGATCCCAAAAAAATTTTGAAAGATCGGAACAAGTTGCCTTAGTGGCTACCAAAAGGACTCGCCAATTGATGGTACTGAATGGCATGAACAAATGTAGACAAATAACCTACCAGTTAAAATAGGTTGAATATAACGAAGGTTTTGTACGAACACTTACTGACGGAAAAAGTCGATTCGGAGGTCCAGTGCAACATATCCTGGCATATATATACATTGTAAACATATATATACATATTGTATGACTATGTATTGTACAGATGTGAAAGGAAGACTCTCAAACTGTCAAGTAACTTTTGTTCTACCCTTTTATTAGCCTCACATGATGTTTTTCGTGTTTACGTTTTGTACTTACACCATTAAGCATAATTTCAGACGGCTAGCGCTCAGCACCAAACAAAGTATGTCTACGCCCGGAATCGAAACCTAGATCACCACTTGTCCTGAAGTTTATCATGCGAACACGTGCGTTGTCACGGAGACGTCACGGAGACATCTCACAGGATAGAACAAGACAAGTAGATTCATAGATAGAACGAAATCGAAATTAAGGTTCAAAATCAGATGATTTGGTCAAGTTGATTTGTGAAAAGAGTATCGGCAAAATAGGCTTTCAGAAGCACGCGTGACAAATTTTAGTGCATAGCTTCTTGTCAGCTTGCCTAGACCTTTGTTATCCGGATTATACAAATTAATGATAGACCAGTACTTTAGTACATATTATGAGTTTTATAAAATTATAACTAGTAATCCGTATATCGGTAGTCGTAATGGCTTATACTACCATAGCCAAAAGACCAATGTAACCATTTTGAAGAAATCCACTTAGCAGAATCCTGGCCGGGGAAACTGTACTTGGCTTATTTATTCCTAACTCTTCTGAGTTCTCTCTAGAACTCACAGAAATAGCGTTATAGCAAGGTCATGCCATTAAAGGCGAATCGAAACATCCCGGATTAAATTGATAGATTTTTTGAAATTTTGACGAACGACGTTCTCATGGGATGGCTGCCACAACCACAATTGCGACCGAACATTCGCAGTACTGATACAATAGCTTTCGACTTTTAAACAGGAGTTAAATAATTACGAATCACTAGTCTGTGGTTTCAGTATCAATACGAAGCTTTTTAAGTATTACTACTATTACTTTTCACGCGTCTGTTTCGTTCTTTTTTTCGTTTGTTTTACAGTCTTGTTACTCCTACTTGACGATAGTCTAATTCACTGCTTTCATCATGGTCATCGTTGCCGACAGCCAGGCTGGCCCCAGCGATCAGATTGAGTTCGCGCGACTGACGCCAATATTCGTCGCCGACGCACCGACATCCTGACAAGCCGACAACCTGGCGAACCGACCGCAGTTTCACCGTTGCATCGTCGTCGACGTCATCATCGGCGGATTCTCTATGTTCAATCTCCAACTAGCTTTATAAACTGTACAGACCATCCCCTATGATTGTGCTATTCTGCGCGATGCTAGGACAATGGCGGCTGTTTCATCGACGATCGCTGCCCCAATATTGGCCATTCTATACTGCTAATCAACTTTTTCTTGTCTCTCAACCTCAGCACTCGTGCGGCCTCCTCGCCTTCTCCGTGGTCGGTCTGCGCTCTTCTGCGGTAGCGTTCCGTGTTTGTACGGCAACGATGCCGCTACCGTCCCGCTGTCGGCGCCGCGTCTCAATGTGGTCTGGCGTACAGTAGAAGAGTCAGTCGGGCGGTTGTTCATTCGCTCGTTAGTTCGTTGCTTGGCAGGCAGACGGTGGCGAACCTGTTACAACGGCAAAACGACTCGTGTTGCTGCCTTCGTTTGCTAGCCCCTTCACTTGTTATAGCCTGGCTAAAACCTTGCGGTTAGTATCTCATTTAGCCAGCTTCTTTTATCCTTACGTTCGAACGACGACTCGAGTGGCTGCTCCAGCCACACTCTCCGCCGTGACCAGTCTGCGCGGCCGCCGCCGCCGCCAGCGGTTCGTCGTACTGAGGCAAGCAAACGTATCAGCTAAATAGTATCTTTCGTCACACTGCACTGTGGCAGTGGCAAGCAGCGACGACGGTTTGCCACAAGCGGCAAACGACAATCCCACGTGCTAGCAACACAACCCAAATACTCGCCACTTAGAATCACTAGATGAGCATCGTGGCGCCATTGGTAGGCAAACTAGAACGTCTCAGAGACCTGCCTTTTGCACGGCGTACCGCATACGACATCAGCACTTTCCGGAAATAGTGACAGTAATATAGGGGCCCGGCAAGTCTGAGAAATTCGCGCACAATGTGACACCAACTGCGGTAGAGAATGCGCCGTATGTACACAGACGCGATTGCGGATACGTTCGCTAAACTGCACATTGAACATGAACGAATACATTCATTAGTAGAACAACATCAACAACTGAGCATCTATAAAAAGTAGAGGGCAACGTACTAAACGCGCAGCCGGCCGATCGAGCGTCGTTCGAACTCGTTATCGTCCGAAAAAAACTGGACGGAACAGATACATCCACACTTAAACAATCAGGCACTTACAAAGACACAATGCACCAAAAAAAAACAATGGAAGCAATAGCGAAACTGCGCTACTTAACTTCACACATAGCTCTACTATCCACAGCTGGCGTTCTTCGCGAAGCTGGCAGGTCGACGTAAGACGATTCCGAGGCCGATTATTACGTTCATAGAGAGTATTTTGATTCATCAATTGGCAGGAGTGTATCGACATAGCCGATAAGAAGTTATTTGCAAATGTTGTAGTATACACGAATCTACAGAAATGTGAGAATGCACACAGAGTCCATGTTACGGAATCGAATCATTAATGCTAAAAGGTCAGGCTTGGCACTAACAGATCGGCGACCATTGGGTACAAGTTAGGTCGCGCGAAACCCAACGGCCACTGTTTCCATCACATCCAATCAGTCCTTGTTTGACGTTTTTCTCAATTTTTCCTCCACCTTTATGTGGTTTTGTCAAATGGGTAAGCTAGAGCGACGAACCCGCAGTGTCGTGACGATACATATGTATATATATATACACGATTTTTTTCGAGATATATACAAATGACGCTTGTTCAGACGCAAAACCAACTACTAGATTGCCCTACCATCATACTGTCAGTCAATCAGCAGTTATGCAGTAACAGCTGATCTATCGCCGACGGACACAGGCATCGCTAGAGCATATTCAGTTAGCGCGTGTCTTCTCCACTTGAGGAGATGAATTGAACCAGCTTCGATGTAAAACTTGATTTCGTCGGAGATACCCATTAAGTGATTACTCACAGCATCACGTCAATTTTTCGACACGGAGCCATGTAATTGGCTACTAGTTTGTACGTTGCCCTCAACAGCCTTGCCGCTTGGAGTCCACAGAGCGCAGCTCAGGCTGGTAACTCACTCTCTCTCTCTCACTTTATAGTTGCGTACTGATCTGTGTATGTGCGTCAGTGTGCCTCACAGTAGGAAAAGAACGATGGGGCTCACTGCGGGACCGAGGCTGGCCGAGTGAGCGAAAATTCATCAGGGTCGGAATGAGTCAGTCAGACCCAGAGAGAACTCTGAGCCTCCTCAGCCCAAGCTGATAACCCATTTAGCAACGGAGCGGACTATTCAGTGTAAAGTCTAATAAACTCACTTACCTCCTGCCTAGGTAACGTCGTTGGTACCCCGTTACGCTAGCGACAGTCTCGGGTTTAGCGCCGAAGTTCGGCCCCCACTACCACTAACCGTAATGTAAGAGCTAATCTTCGGCACGCGTAGTCTCGCTGATGGCGGTGGTGGTGGCGGCGGCGGCGGCGCCTCGATGCGGCTGGTCTCTACAGGAGCCAACGGTAGAAAGGGCGCCAAAAATTCAACAAGCTAGGAGAACACAATAGCTGTGCACGCGAAAGAAAGACATCTGGTCTGTCAGGCGACTGATAGGTGGAGCAAGGAAGCATATATCTCGGAGCGGCATGCAGATGGCACAGGAACTTATAGATGCTTAAAACCTTCATAGAAAGAAGCTCTTCATAAACGAGACTGTGCAAAGATCCCTCTTTCTAAAATGCTCGACCAAGCCACGCACGTTTTATTTGATATAGTAGTACATAATAGCTGGGAGCTGTGTGTTTGTCAGGGATCAGCTGGAATAATCGTAACCGGTGGCATCCAAGGAGCTAAGAATGCGTGTCTCAATGGCGAGCATGTATCGAGTAGTTGAGTTCGGAGTTTTCTAAGGTATATCCCCCCTCCCCCTCTCCCCCCGAAAATTCCTCCAAATTGCTGTGTATAGCGCTTTCAGCATACCGATGCTACTGTGTCGTACTTCGCGTTCTAGTGAATGGGATTTCATGAAATTTTTTGGGATTATTCAAGATGCACTCGTTGTAAACTTGGCCCTTGCAAGCCGACAAAACTGCGAGTATACGTAAACACAGCAGTTTTTATTACCTTCGATTACAATCTGTTGCTACTGTGCCTTTCGATATAACTTTGCGTCAGTTTGTCTACGGACATCGCAAAAATTAGATGTTGAGAAACGTTTATGGCCTTTTTGAGCTGGGCGTCAAGAAAGCCTTAGTTAAACATCATCGGTGGCAGTTCAATCCTCGGGAGAAGCCTGTTTAGGGTATTCTGCATTAAGAGTTAATATTGTGTGTACAGATAGTGATTCGCTTCGAAATCATAGTTTTGAAGCGGTCAAAGCGCAAGATAGTTCTGCACAATGGAACGTTATGCTCAAAAAGAAGAAAATGTTCCGTTGCAAATTAGTTTTTATAATACTATTAAAATACTTACATTTATTTATCACTATATTGGAAAGAGACTACTACATTAAAAACATTAATGCAGCTGTTGGAGTTCGGCATTCTGGGAAAAACCGAAGAACGACTGCCTCTCATTTTATGTTGGCCGCTATGTTTCTGCTAAGATATGGTAATCGATTTATCATATGTTGCTGGGGCACTGATCTCGTATAACGGCCCAGGTTCCTCTTAACATATAACAGGTTCATTCTCGACACTTAATGCTCACCGATTGTATCTCTCCATCACTTTGCGACATTTCGGTGTCGAAATTGCGCCATCTGCCGTCGGTAGGGCCCGCTCTATCTGAAGTGATTTCGCAGTGAACAGTTTCGAGCATTGGAACCAAATAAAGGCCCCGAAACAGCCTTGGGACAAATGACTATCTTTAGATTGTTGAAGACGAATGTTAGTTAAATGCTTAAATATTTTCTTGCAAGCTAGTAGTGAACAATGTGGGAACGCAACGGCGTAAGACATGGCCATCACAAATGCCGAGTGCCCAATGTACATGAGGTAGCCAAGAAACACTCTATAGCTGACGAATGAATTAGTTAATCAGCGTTTCATAGTATTTCTACGTTACTACTTTTTATCACACGTAAATCTATACATTGAGTAAGTAACCTAAGTCTCCTAAGTGAGCCCCTCATCATCATATAAATATTACGAGGGCTGTAAGCCGCTTGTTGGCGGAAACTTTTAGAATGACAAAGCCACGTTGACCAACATGATTTCAGCTTAACCCGATACTTAAAATGTTTTGACATGTATCCCCTTGTATGTTTGGAGGTATAATCCGTAAGATTCAATAGCTTGACAGTAATATGAATAAACACAATTTGTATGAGGTCTATGCTTTTTTTTTTTTAATTAAATATTAGAGCGGTAATAGCTTAACAGAGGACTGAGAGCAATTTCAATTGATTTTTGAGAACTTCTCATATGTTTACCACCACTACTTGGAGACACTAGAATTATGGCTTGAAAAACATGCTTCGCGTTCGATCTACGCTTTTCTGGGTTGCATATTGGGAGCCCAGTGGTTACCTGCTGTCGATTTCTGGGATGTATTCAATTGAATGTTACCATGACTTTTGATATGTTCACAGTTAGTTCAAGAGGTAAAGTGCATACGATATATCGAATGACTTGTATTGAAGTGGTATCTGGATCTATATTTCATTGCGCTTGTATATAGCAGTCTGTCAAAGTCGCGGTTTTTGTGTGGTTATTGGCTGTCCTTGGCTTGGCTCAATAGGTCACCACTCCAATTTTTCTAGGCACAACCTATGTGTGACATTGCGACGTTGATGGCTTCATAACAACTGACGCCTAACGGCACGAACATGAGCCTTGAGACGCAAACATAAAAAGGTAAAATCGAGTATGCGAAAAGCAAAATTCGCTTGTGCAGAAACATACATGACTCATATCCTTTTGAAGGTCCCCTGTATATACATGTTCTTTATAGTCATGCTCCTGTGGACTACATATGTTTGGCGCGTTACACGGTGCTTCGCAAGTGGTTTTTGTATACTTCATTATATCGTTGTTAATTATATAATGCATATATTTTATGTTGATGTTTATTTCACAAAGGAAGTCGTAAATAGAAATCACAAAAACATGAATTGAAAATGTATTATTTCACCTAGTCCGCTCTCGGTCGTTATCAACGAAACAAGATGAAAATAACTTCACGAAGCAAATTGTCATTATTTTTATAGTAGAATATTCTTTAGAGACATAATGACAATCCTGTGGGTCATATGGGTCAGGGCGTATCAGTTTAGACCAATCACTACCGTGCGCTGAGCGACAACAAGACCCAATACAAACAAGAGAAATATGGCAAATACTATGAATGCGTTACGTCAACACAGAATAAGGCAGATGAATGGCAATGAATAAAGTAATGACCGTGAGATTAATCAAAACTGGGAAATCAAACTTTGTTGTCAGGTGCCATAAGCGGTTAACCTGTGGCTTTTACTAATGAACATACGGTGTTGGCATGAAGCCATCTCGTAGCGCTCCAAATGGCCGTGCATCATTCTCTCTCTCCTATAGGCTCTTCCAGAGCGAAAGTACTCGTAAGGTTATGATAAGTTTGAGAAATACACTAAATTAAAACGGCGTTTTCATGAATTATGTACCTAGATGCGCAAAAGGACTTGCTAGTTTAAATCCAATCAAAGAAGCACTATCTACAAAGCCGTCTCTCGATTCGAAAATCCGCAGATTTTCCGCTGTATGCATAGTTGTTCTGCTTAACTGATTCGTATTCATGTGGGCAGTTTTGAAACGATAAGCCGGTACGTCGGACTTATTAGCGTCGATGGGACTCACTGCTGATTTCTAAGTAGTCCCACTGTGGCTCTTGGGCGCTCACACAAGAGGGCGCTGTTAGAAACCGCGCTGGTCCGCGTCAGCAATGAGTCCGTGTTTCGCTCTACTCTCGGTAGGCGAGATGCGTTAGGCGAGAGTCGTGAGAGACAGCCCCAATAGGAAGGGCAATACCACATGGACCGTGTCGTCAAGCCATCGCTTTAACCGATACCAGCGCCAATCGGAGTTCAAAGCCATCAGGAGGAATAGGCTGTCTAGGGTACGTACCGCCGAAGGCCATTATTGTTTCTATATTCTATTGTGGTCTTATTTACAATTCATGTACAGTAAGTTAGCTTCAATGTTGCTGATTCGAACGCTCACCATATATATTTTGTTGATATAGTCGTTCTGTCCAATCGATGAATTGTTTGTGACAGCTGGTATAGTTGCCTTAGCGCCACGTGAACATCCTACAGTTAGCATAGAGCGGGCAAAGATTGCGGTGAGGGCAGTTTTTAAGAACCTGCACAACGTGTGTTGAGCAAAGATCGCTAACGGCCTGTGCGCATTTTAGCACCACGTGCTGCTGTTGCTCATCGCTGAGCTCCGCCATGATGCTCACCGGCAGATGAGACATCTTCGTCGGAGACGAATTTCAGTAGGAATTATACTTTTAAAATGGTCACAGTTCAATGTTAGCATTTAGATGGCGAGCATTTAGATGGAGAGATTATAAAAAGAGGCCTTTATTTAAGCATTTTAGTAAGTCGACAATTCTAAAGAGTCTCTGTAGCCGCCGCTTCATTAAACAGAAAATAAAAGCAACAGTCTTCTGGAGAATTGAGCATACGCTCCAAATAGAACAAGTGTAAATTTTCAAGGTGCAGACACGAGGGACATCTTAGCTGTCGAGTAACATTTATGAAGATTGTGACAGCCGTAATGATGGGACCGGCATACCGTCAAAGGGCGCGAACCACACAGCTGACAGCTGAGTATATATTTTCAGTCATTTAATAAATTTTAGGTTAGCGTCTAGTCTTATGCGTTGCGTGCCCGTGCTAAACAGAGTGTGTTCTGCACAAAACAGTAGTTCAATTTTCTATAATTGAAATTTTACAAGTTGTGCAGGAAATTATAGAGGTTACAATTTATACTGTATTATGTCGTGTTTGCTGTTGCCGTTAGTGAGCGTTCTTGGTTAATGAGTCAATACTATTAATATTGTTCTGTGCATTTTGCAGCATTGGCTTGAATCATTCTCATATGAAATGTGCTCATTCAACTTACTTTCAACCAATTTTAGCCGAATTCCTCATATCTTTTTATTGCGTTATATATTAATAAGCTGATTAACAAAGTTAAATGAGTGCAAAAACTTAGACGTTCTTGTAAATTCCGGTTACATTCATGAAGAGTTCAATGTTAGATGTTGTGGTTGGTAATTTCGAAAATGTCATTTATCCGACCTTTCCATTTACTAATGTGCTAGCAAAACCAACTTACGGTCATATAAGCAACAGAATGATGTTAGAACCAAGATTGACTACAGCAACCTGCAGAGATGCACCGAACCTACGTTAGTGGCTCAAAAAAGCATAAAAAATGTTGCCATTTTTTTTTGATAGCACACACAGTATGCCTATTTTTCTTGAACGATTTTCTAATTTGCAACAGAATTTTGTAAAGAGAATGCTTGACTGACTGACCTCTGATGACTGGAAAAATGCGGACTATGACTTCGAGATTTTCAAAAACCTTTTTGCGACAAATGATGAATAATCATTTTTAATCTAATAAACATGAATTATACATTTAGAAAATGGAAATTCTTCATGGGTGTCGTGCACTATGAGCCGCGGTAACTGGATTCCCTTTATTCCTGCCAAAAAAAAATTTTCGTCGTCCACTGCTCTACCTATTATTGATGCAGGCAACGGTAGATAACGACGTTAAAATATTGTATTAACACCCACAAACGTTAAAGAAAACAACTAATTATTTAGAATAACTCGTATTTATTATGGGAGATTGAACATAAGTTGAAATCAGAAAGTAAGCAGTTATTACATAAGTTCGAACAGCCATCTGAGATAATAGGGCTATCCGGACAATACAACGATCTGTGTTTAAAAATCAAACGGTTACTTTTCTGTATTTGGATAACTAAAATAAATAAAAAATAGTAAGGCAAGCATTACAGGCCAGGTGTGCAAAGTACATAAAACTCTGCTGCGATTTATAGACTGCGATTCACGTGTAAACGGGGTCTGACTGATACCCAGGACGAACCTTTATTAAAATCTTACAACTATTTTCCAGTTTGAAATTGTTCCACTTGAGTAATGTACATAGAGGCCGCTCATTTTTGATTATGTTTATTTACTTATGGATTTTTTAAGTTCGTGAAGTTGAACCCAATTGAAGCAGTTTTCAAAGCACTATCGCAAACTATTTTAGGCTGAATTGCATTATGGTCTTGGATTTTCTTAAATAACTGAAATCTTACGCCAAAGACTTCTTGGATCAAGTTCAATCGCTTTGAATGTAAGGCTCAAATTACTGATACCGTTTCGGTAACAGTCATACGATGAGCTTTGGAATCAGCACCATAAAACATCAAAGTCCACGTATCCATTGACTATTATAAAGGCACTTCAAAAGCTCCGACCTTCAGATATGGTCATACTAAATACACATTAAGTTGTCCCTTAACGGTATAAGAGTTTATTTAAAATTGTTAACTTAGAGGCTACATACTGCTAACGGTTTTTTAATTAATTTTACTCACTGCAGGTTGCCCAAGGAGCCCTAATCGACATTTGAAAATCAGCTAACTATATGACCAAAGTTATATTCAAATAAGCTTGTAATAATAAATAAGAACAGCCCAGACGCCAGGATGCCACCCACCTCCGAAACGGCCCAACTCCGGGTTGACCAGTCCCTTCTACAACCTTCGGTAAGAGTTTTCATATTATTCAACCTAGACATAGACTCTAGCGTTTTTCATTTAGCGAACTACAGCAATATGCGCATTTCAGCTTGCAGGCCTACTGCTGGGTTCATAAGGTCTCAAACGAGGTACTTGCATTTGAAGTCCTCAAATGACGCGCTTTACACACTTTTGGCCTCGCAAAAATTTGGTGGAGCTTCAAAAACCGAAGAATCTTTGCTAAAGTTTCAGTTAAACTAAATGCTTTAATATATTTTAGATGAATTCATTTGACGTGTTGCACACATCCGAAGACGACACGGTACTGTTCACGTCGGAATCAGTGGGCGAAGGACATCCTGACAAGATGTGTGACCAAATCTCTGATGCTATCCTCGATGCTCATCTTGAACAAGATCCTTACGCAAAAGTGGCTTGCGAGACAATCACGAAAACAGGTCAGTAGGCGGTACACTTTTCTGTCCACCATAGTACCCAAGGCAGGTTTTGTAATATTGTCAGATTTCTACTGCTTAAACCTATACTGCACCACGTATATGAGGAGGATCTGGCTTATCATTCTGTACTATAGGAATGATCATGGTGTTCGGCGAAATTTCATCCAAAGCTCAAATCGACTATCAGAAAATCGTGCGCAACACGGTCAAGGAAATTGGCTACGACTCGTCCGAAAAAGGATTCGATTATGCCACGTGCAATGTTCTCGTTGCCATTGAAGAACAAAGCCCAGAAATTGCACAAGGGGTCCATAAAGAAAGAAGAATAGAAGATATTGGCGCCGGCGACCAAGGCCTTATGTTCGGGTAAGTATTTGCAATATTTCCGACACGTGTTGGAAATATTGGTACTCATTTGCAGAGTGAATATTCCACTATAATTCTTGTCTCGATGAATAAACATCGCGTGGTGAATCGTACTGAGATTAACTAAAGCTCTATTTAGATTTTCGTAACGCCGGTAGTTACAGTAAAAAGTAACAAATACGTCGCAAGGGAAAACATTTTTCTGTCTACATTTTTGTTTACATAAACCTGTCGACGAAAAAGCTGTCCTTTTCGAATACCCTGTATGTAAGAAGATAGAAACCTAAAAAAATCTTATTTACTTTTTCGTTATATTGAACAAACTCTGCAGAATTTGGCATATTTGCTACATCACTGAGTACGTTTATCGGAGCTTTCATTTGGCTCGCTTTTTTCCAGTTACGCTACCGATGAGACGGAGGAGTGCATGCCCCTCACCGCTGTACTAGCTCATCGACTTAATCAACGGCTTTCAGAACTTCGTCGAAATGGAACGTTCCCTTGGGCTCGACCGGATACAAAGACACAAGTGACCTGCGAATACCGTTTTAAGGCTGGACGCACCGTGCCTCAACGTGTGCACACAGTCGTCGTTTCGACACAACACAACGCATCGATCTCGCTTGAAGATTTACGGAAACAGGTTTATGAAAAGGTTATTAAAGCTGTTATTTCACCGCACATGATCGACAACAACACTATCGTCCATATCAACCCTTGTGGACGATTTGAGCAGGGAGGCCCAATGGGTGACGCTGGGCTGACAGGCCGTAAAATCATCGTGGACACCTATGGAGGTTGGGGAGCTCATGGCGGTGGAGCGTTTTCCGGTAAAGACCCAACCAAAGTAGACCGGTCGGCAGCTTACGCTGCTCGATGGGTAGCGAAGTCACTTGTCAAAGCCGGAGTCGTTAGCCGTTGCCTTGTGCAGGTCTCCTACGCTATCGGAATCGCGGAACCTCTTTCAATCACAGTTCTTCCGTATGGCACCTCTAGATATTCACAAAAGGAGCTTCTTCAGATCGTCCGTGATAATTTCGACCTTCGTCCGGGCATTCTCATACGCGACCTCAAGCTTTCTACACCCATCTATCAAAAAACGTCAACTTACGGACATTTCGGCCAAAGCGAATTCACATGGGAGGTTCCTAAGGAGCTTAAGCTTCCAAGAAAAATTATTGAGTGACCAATAACAATAATGTTAGGCAAATTTAGCGATAATCGTATGCTTGCGTTGAATCCCGCCAAGAGTGTAACTAATTCTGTAATAAGAATATTTTTTAGCAATCTTAGATGAAGTGGTCATTTTACCACAGCAGCTAATTGATTACTCTATTTGTTGCTCTTAACACAAATATATACCTTTACCTTCAATATAATCGGTTTATACATGAGTACAATCTCATTTATGAGTCAATGGTACAGGCGATCTAGGAGTTCATTAAAAGCTGACTTTTTAAAATAGATTCCTGAGTTTTAATTTTTAGATATTTAGGTTGATAGCCTTAAACTGTCCACATATCTACCAAGATAGGCGGTTGTTATAACAAAACTTAAGTAAGAAGGTAAAAGATGTTCAAGAAACTTTTAAGTCGACCTGTTCCTTAATCATTTGTACAGAAAGTCGCTTGATGGAAGAAACAGAAATTATATATATATTTTTTTACCAAAACAGTTCCAAATACTTCTGCAATTGCACACGTTTCGTTTCCAGTTCCATATACCTCGTAATTATATTTTTTTTTTACCAAAACTGTTCCAAACATTTTTACAATTGTACACGTTTCGTTTCCAGTTCCATATACCTCGTTTGTACAATTGCCTTGTTTCCGTCGCTGAAGAAAAAGTGATAAAATTGCACAAAAAAATTATGCGATCAGAAATGCATCTTAAGTCACTTTGACCACGGCTAACACTAGAAAGATAATCCAGTTGGAATTGTGGGTTTTTCAGTCTACCTCAATATATAAGTCTTCTATAAACATTAGATTTACCCTATCGGTATAGGTATAGAAATAAGCATGTTATAAAAAAAGGTTGTGAAAGACAATTATGAAACCATTGTACATTTAGTAAAACCCCATTAACGTTACCGTACATGCAAATTAAGCATTTTTCTACAAGAATACGATATATACTCGATTTTCTGTCTACCCAACAAAGCTATGAGCTCGAGGGGAGTACTTAAGTGTAAATCGGAGAGGTCCCCTTAACGGCTGGCTGAAAACAGGATTCGAGCACGACGGAATAGAATTCTGTACACGGCCTTGAGTTTCCAAACTGATGAGCGTCAGGCGCAAAAGATCTGTTTCAAAGGCGTGTTCAGGATGCTGCAATCATTTTTCTATAGTCACAATAGAATGTGAATGCGAAAACATTCATTTTTTATAAAACACATATATGCAAGATATATAGGTCCCTATCTAGTTAAGTTACCCAAACGAGGTTCAATAGTCAACATCCCCAATAAAAGACAACATACATTAATTGATCATTTACTAGCGTAAGTTCTACAAACTGTGTGCGAAGGTCATATCACAAAAATCGCTCCAGACTTTGATGTAGATTGGCGGAAAGATAGTTTCCCGGGATACTATTTATGGAACTCGGGGTTGCAAGATATTTGAGATTATGCAATAAAGGCGCACACTCACTCTCTACTCCTTTTTAAATAGGCAGAGGCACATGTACGTGCGTAAAATCGTATCCTTCTGCCATACTTCACCCTGATGTGCCATTGGGAGCTTTTAGCTCACTATCGTCGGGGCTAATTTTTGAGTGATCTAAGTTTATCGGCGGCAGCGCAGTTTCAGTTGCAGACTTAATGCCCATATGACTTTCTACTAGCTTGAGGTCGAACATTTCGTCACTATAAATGTTCAATCTTTTCTTATTATTAATTATTAATTACAATACCAAAGTGCACAGTAACATTTTTTGGAGTGTTCCAAAGGGGCTACGTGAACAATACGAAAGGAGGAACCAACTTGATTTTACTTGCGCAAAATAAGCACCTGGCTCTCTATTATTTTCGAAACTCAATTCTGAGTCCCATATTTTTAATGTTTTCTAGCAAAGAAGCGTGCGTATTTATCCTATGATGAATTTAAATTAGTCCTAAATCTTTTAATGTTATTCAGATATACACCACCTTGCTACTAATACACATCAGTCAATGAGAGTATTATCAAACCGGTCACCGTCATTTCGAGTGAAGAGATGACGCCAAATGTCGGACGACAAAACGTACCGATTGCGCATAACTTTTTATAAACTGAAGCATTACTTTTTTAGTTTTCTAGGACAATATCAACTCGCTTCGACATATTCTTGTTCTCGTGTTTAACTAATCTATCCTGGAATTGTTAGCTTTAGCGTGATGGTATATTATGAGTAACAGATTCATTTTGCATCAGTGAGGTTCAGTCGCTGGTTACTGCCGATTAACTGGAAGGCATTACATATCCACTGCCAACCGGAACGAAAGCTACATTTATTGTAGTTATACGTATTTTATAGATCCGTATCACTCTTCCACGTTACAGGCCGGGATGCCTTCATCCCGCGACCAGTCTTTCCTGATATCTAGTAGACTGATAATTGCACGCTGTTGCCGTGATCGTTATAACTAATTGGTGTATAGCGCGACTTGATTTCTCGGGGCCATATCCAGAATGGAATTGGGGCAGCAGATTTAGAGATGTGCCGCGGTAATAGCGGCGTAGAAGAACGGGCTTTTAGTCCCAAGCAACTGGCGTGAGGGATGTGTTGTTTTAGGTACCTGTTATTAGCGTAGAAGCCAAACATCGGCCGCTTTTCAACGAAGAGACACGGCGGCCGTGGACTGACCGCGACTCTCAAGATTCATCGGGCAATAAACTCATAAAGCAATTCAAACGTAGTTGCATTTAAGGTTTTGCTTACCATAGTGTCTACCGAGAGTGCGATCTCTGGAAGCGCTGTGGGAACAGAAAAGCTCGGCGCTTGCATCAAACGCGCAAATAGCCGCCCCTTAACTGCACGAATCGCTCCCTTCGTCAGCCTGATGTTCATTTGATGGGTGGGCGAGGAAAGTCTTCATATGGCAAAAATTCGGAGCGCACCAAATACTGCTCTACGTGCAGGTTCACGAAGCGACTCGCTTTATCGGTGACAACCACGTTTATAGCCTCATGTCAGTCCTAGATAGAGTCTTAAACTGCCACGCGGAGAACAGAAAGCATCTGCCGGATGTCATGCAGATAATTCTCAATTTCCTTTGGAAATATTGTACCAGTACCTGCGTAAACCAAAGCTATTTGGTGTCGCAATCTACCGAGAACACGGTTCATTAATCAGAATGTTGCCAGAGCGTTAGCCCGCTCAAGGGGTATTCAATTGAATCGACTCAAGCAGTTCGGGGTGCAAAACGCTACCCACCCTGTCTTCGGGCACCATGGAGATCTGCCAGTAATCGCTTGTCAAATCCAAAAAACAGACAATATATGAGCTTCCCTAATGTCGATTCGCAGCAAAGAGAAGACATTCCTTATCGTATTCACTGGAAGTCTCTAATAGTTTACACAAAACCGAATGAAGTCGTCCTTATTTACAATAATGGCTCAACAACAGGTGAAGTCCAAGAGCCAGGAAAATGTTTAATTATGCCATCGTTCAGCGTTTGTTGTACTACCTTCGCGATGCAGGTTGCGTCGGCCAGACCCACTGAATGTGTGTCTACCAAAAAAAGGGCTGATTGTCTACAGGGATCATAAAAATGACGAGATGTGTCCTAAAACTTCTTCGGTTTCTTGATTAGATGCCCAAACCCTTCACGCGATTTACAATTTTTCCATTGGACAAAACAAAAACCAGCAATATACACGACAGCAAATATTTTTACTTTCAGCTATCTCAAACACGGTTAGAAGCTGCTGCTGAGCATCAACGATTTCAACTGGTTACTTGCAGCTTCAACTTCAGACCACACGTCGCTATGCCATAAAAACACCATACATATCTCAGTACCCGTACCCAACGAGATGCGCGCTAATCTAACACCTTCCAACTCAATGTTCATCTCAAATTTCGACGGAACATGAGTTCCGGTAAATCGGATAGCTGGAGGATCGATCTAGTGAGGCGTCGCGCCCGACGGTTGCGTGCGTGGGTATGTTACTTCGAAATGCCCGCGTGCTCATAAGTAATAACGCATGATGTTCTTTTCCGAGGAAGTTTTTACCTGAAAACATCCCAACTGACCGCCTAAAGCACGACTTCTAAGCCATACTACGCCAAAGCGGGGCTACGTAATAACTGTCGCGCTCAACTTGGCATCGGGATTACTGCTGGTTCACTGGACGCGCTATTCCTTCCAGCCAACTAATCGCTCGGATACCGCTCAAATCAAAACAGTTTGCCTATCTGGCTTGCTGCAAACTCTCTAAGTTTCACCCTCCGCGACCCCACCAAACTGCTACTAAAAATGTCGCAAAAAAACTGCTGGTAACCTACAGCTGCTCGGAACTGAAAGTAAAAAACAATTTATTGTAGCAGAATGTACGTTCCGCGTCTCTTTCAACATATTTATATTATATGAACACTATTATTCGCGTATACTAAGCGTGCTAAATGAACGATACACAATATCAACTTATGCAATATATTTGCGTTTAATACACTTGTGATTCAGCCAGGATGCAGTCCGAAGTAGATCACTTTTTATCACTAATAATGATTTTTGTCCTCACACAGAATTGTAGTACGTTCTCGGAAAATATCATAAAAACCACTTCCGTTTTTATCTGAAATTGTCGAATAAATTACTTCTGTGTTACAAATTAATAATAACACGAACTGCTTTCCAAACAAATCGCATCGTTGACTGATTGAATGGCACAAAATTTACATCAGGTGGTCATTTACGTAGAACCCATTTTTGCTCTTGCTGAAAAGATATTTAAAAAACGCTTTATACCACCTTAAACCTGTTATTGTATATTCGCTTAGGATGTATTTGCTTAACTAAGTAAGGACCAGTGCGTTGATCTGTATATCCAATTATTATGTCATAAATAGTGAAAGTCGTCCTAGTAAACATACGTTTGGGTATACGTTGAAAATAGGAATCTCTATCTCGGCATCACGAAGTTCATTGGCCTTAATCGGACACTGCACATGTTTCCCGCAGAGCTCCTGATCAACGCCAGTCAGCGTCACGTTCATTTTATCCACAATAACAGAAGGTTGTACGCGAACGCTATTGGCATCGTGGCCTTGACACAAAAAAGGGTAACGATGGTCGAGTTTGTCAGTCTATGCCTATGTGGAGAATCAGCAGAGACCAAGAGCCTAGAGACCATGTAGATTCCTAGCTTCGATCAGTTTTTCCGAAAAAAACGTTTTATTAAAGAGTGTCTCGTATTACTTGGCCATTTCTGAAAAATAGTTTTAAAAAATGTATATGGTGAAAATTTTTTTTGTAAGATACTAACTAAAGGATCCGATGAAATGAACATTGACTTTGCTGCCTTTGGCAAATTCGCAGGGTTCCGACTCACACGGCACGACCGTGATATTCTCGATATGTCCCGTTCCTCCTGGAAGGTGAAACACTGCTAGGAATGATTATGTCTCAAATACACACATAGAAGTAGCTAGTACATTTTTTAATTTGGTCGGGCATTGACTTCATCACATGGCATGTGCCCATAGAGAAATACCACGTTAGTTTTCAATGGTTCTTCGTCTATGAACACATTGTCTCTAGTTAATTGATACATAAAAACGGGACAGTTATCATGAAGGCTCACGTTATTTCTACATCCGTACAAAAACTAATTTTTATTTATAGCTATGATTTCGTGATAGGCGCGAATGAACGAATCAATGGGCTTTCCTTTATACACTGTCAACTACTAACTTTCGCCAATACAGATGCTTATGTAGTAACTAACGAGGTAGTTCCGCAAGACAATTCGTATTAGGTTGTTCTCAGAATAGATCTAACATGCGACAGCGTATCCTAAACTTAGTCTTTGTTCGCAAACGGCTAGTTTTGCAAAAATACTGTTTACTGACCGCAATTAACGTACGAGTCGAGCTGCTTCGCATTATTTTCATTCATCATTAGCATCACAGCGAATACGACCGTAAACAGATCCAGCAACATCATACTTTCTAACTCTAATCCAAACTTGAAGAACTTCACAAAAGCTGAAATTTATTCTTGTAACAACGCTGATCGTTTATTCCTATTCCGTAATCTTTCTCAAATAGCTAACTACAGGTTCGTGTAATCTACTGCCGAAGTTAGCCCACAGATTTATCTGCTATTTATCTCGAACGAAAAATCGCATTCGATTTGAACGTTAGCAACGCGGCCTGGTAGACAAGATAGCAACTGGACAAACAGCTATATACTGATAACGGTGTCAGTTGATGAATGAGATTGATTATTGAGATCTATAAGAAGCAGCCAGTTCTTATAGCTTACTTTTGAATATGAAGGAAAAATCGCAATGTTAGCTGTTCTGAATTGAAACACAGTGAGCCATAGGGCTGTCAGTGGCCAAATTAATTCGACATATATATAATATTGGTTTTAAGCCTCTGTTTCGAGTCTTACGTCTGGTATTACCGCTAGAGATTTTATCAGGCTCAGGCTTTAGGCCTATAGATAACACTATTCTCTAACACAGGGACAGAAAATCCCTATTTCTAATAAACTTCCTCAACATTTGCTCCGTTGAATTCGCTATTAACGACAGTTAATATTACCATTATTACATTAGTCGACATCGCCATCCGAAAACACTAACCCTAACACGCCGCAAGCACTGAGCCCTACGAAATTTGACATTGAAAACGACGAATTGTTGAATTAGATATAACATGACGTTATATTGTGACATATATATATAAAGTAACGTTATAACGTATGCACAAATACATACCTAATTGAAAAACTTACCCTCCCGTCCTGGCTATGGTCCATCAGGTTTCTATTACGCTATTGCTTGCTGGCGCGTAGCACGGAAACAAAATACGAAGCGGTTTACTCATGTCTTTCTTGAATCATCCATAGCAGTCAGTGTTTACGATGACGTTGAATAGTTTTTTTTTGTATTGGAACAACTTACATAATCTGTTCGTAGCACGTGTATAAATTCTTACTGTAAATTGACTATTGATTATTACTATTATATTGAAACCTATATCATGGGACAACTAGGTAATTTGCTGAATAAATTTTGGCAGTCTATCTTGAATTGCATTATTCATAGCGAATGTTAAACACACAGGGCTCGCAATCACTTTTTCTACCCTTTTTACCTTTCAGCAAGCTGCCATTTAGTTGCTTGGCACAATGCAGTTACAGTTGATTAATAGATGTAGCTAACAGTATAATAGATGTAAAAATCAGCGAAAAAAATATTGTCTTGTATTCAAGCAAAACAGGCATCTAACCTAACTTTTATCAAGCAATCAACACAAATAACCACTTCATAATGTTATATTGTCCGGCTCTAAGTGTTGTTGGCCATAAACTATAAGCGACGACACATAATTAGTAGTTAGGTCTTTAAACATTAGCTTTTGCTACTAATTATTCTGTAGCCAAGTTTACATAATGAAATATTTACTGATTGTTAGGTTAACTGTAGATTAAAAATTCCGCTGATGATGAAAGGTACACGGACAAAGCAAGCTGACAAAAAGACAACGATTATCTTTAGGTCAAAAGCCAAAACAGACGAGATGGCCACATATTATCAACGCTCTTAGAGCCACCTAAGACCAAGCAAATCTTCGTGGAGCAAGGGCAAATTCAATTACGATTACATTCGTCGTAAGTCGTGCCGCGTAGTAAACCTAACTAACACAAGCGAGTTGTGAAGTACATTTTTACCTTAAAGGGTACATCGAGTTTTATGCTCTGTGTCACAACGGCTGCTATTATCCATGGGGCATTAGTAAACCGGGGGCAATGTTCCACTTTTCCAGAGCAAAACCAACACCCACCGCCACCTGAACCGAGACCTATTGCTTCATATTTGTGTCTCTTTCAACGAGCTAGATGCCAAATGAAAGGTTAATTTCTGGCTACTAATAAGCATTGACTAAGGCCTAATGACGAGAAAACACATGGTCAATTTCGCACGACGAAAAAATCCTACATTAATAAAACAGCGTACGCTAACGGAAGCCGCTTTTCGAACAATCACTCCTCTATCACTGACACATTTTGTAGTTTGTAAATGGGAATATATTTTGACAAATCAATTAAGTATTGGGTTCATTGGTACCTACCGCAATGAAATAAGTACACTAACTAGGACTTTCTCAAACGAATTTCCTCTAACATAGGTTATCTAGCAAGACATTCGTATATCGGTTTCTGCAGTGTGGCGATAGCGGAATATTAAAAGACATATATATATGTACGGTGTATAAAGTACGGCACTGAAGATCAGTAATATTATCTTTTGGGTTTTTAAACCAGTTTTTATTAATTACTGACATCTATAATTACAGAATAATTGTACAATTCTACCAAATTGCATACACACCTGAGAATGTTGAACTAAGACTTGAATTTGTTATTTTTTAGCTTTTGCGCCCGGTACTCAAGCCGTTAGGTATTGCTTTAGTGAGGCCTAGAAATGCTGTTTCTGCACTATCATAACGATCATTGCTTCCTATTGCGCCATGTATTGTCCGTAGCTTATGGAGAAAATTCCTTATCACATAAAGTTATAGAAAAAAAGATTAATTAATACGAGTAGGCAACGGCAAATATCATAACCATCATTTTCACTGGTACGGCCTGGTTCATCCGTAATTAGCAAGTAAGCCCCACCGTTTAGTTATGCGTGGCATAATAATGTTGTCAATATATTGACATAATCTTTTCCATGGTAGATAAGATTTCGAACGTTTCTTTATCGAAACAGTGTTTTAGTAAAGGTTCACGTTAGACGAATATACACATCGGCATGTATTACGATATGTTTAAACGTCGTAGAAAGAAATAATAGCGGGTTATTCGGCAAACACCTGGTTACATGATCGGTCCTTGTTCTAAGCATTACCGTATACGGTTGATTTCCTATACAAAAGATGTGTTTTTTCTGCATCCGGTTTCGAACTCTGCTCGTTTCGCTTGTTTTTATGATTAGTAAGTTTTTGCCTATATACTTCCACATCGCCTGTGTGATCTTACAGATTGCTGAATTATCCATTGAACCATTGAGTGATTACTGCAGTGAACAACTGTATTCATCTGTTTCAGTCAGATATATCAAATCCGTTGTTTTTCCTCTTAGATCAGTGTAAACCCGCAGTCAGGTTATACGCTGTCAGCCGTTTCATCTTGAATTCAGTATCTACGAATCGCTTACAAATGATCAGTTGGCAACAACAATTTTCTTGTAATAATTATATGACGTATTACGCTCATGAGATAGTATTAACCAAGCAAAATTAAATTAATTAGATGTAAACTTGCTTGTTTTTCCACTAAGCGCATTCATAGCTTGTAGATCGAATGACTAAATCCAAAAAGCTGCCGCTGACTGGACACTAGTTTGATGAGCGGTGAATGTACCAGTTGAAGCATTGTGTATCTAGAATTATATCTGGTCTTTACTATTTTTTACGACGCCAATGGAAGAGCCCATAGAAACTGAAAATCTTTTTTATTTTAATATCAGAGATCAAGTTAGCTGCGTTTGCAGCGCATATAATAAGACAAACTCCTTAACATGGGCGCCTTCCAGCGAGTTGAGTGCCCTTTGATATAATATGCCCGAATTATCAGCAAATCCGTTTTGTTGCTCCCACGTGATATAGCTCAACCACAAATCTGGAAATTCAAGCGAAAGATGATTCCAGAAAACTATGCATTCGAAAGAGTCATAATAACATAATTGTTATTTTGTAATATAATACTTGTAGGAATCAGGAAAGATAAACAAGTGTAAAAGGGTTTGTCTTACCTTCATTATTTTTTCCGAATTCCCGGATCGCCTCTTCGAATACATTGCGAACCATGGTAGCATCTTCAACAAATGTATCCAGAAACCTATCATAGATTGTCATGCTGAGTGGCTTTAATGCCACAAGACGATTGAATAATTTCAGTGTCGCTGTTGAATCTGCGTTGGACAACGTAACGTCAACTAGAAACTCCTTTAGGAAAATTCCCGTTATTCCTGGCTTGAGGATGCCGCGCTGTAATCAATTACATGGCTTATATACACTTTCCACTTCCTTAGAAGCAGTCAGCCTACCAATTTCATTATAGCTCCGCTATACGTCTTGCTTTATTCTCAATGTTCGTCACATGCGTACATCGTTTTGGTACTTTCAGTTGCTAGTTTACCTCTAGTGCGGATTTTAGCCTAGTGAACTGTCCTTTTTCCTTGTAGAATGTGAGAATAACTTTCCATAAACTCGTGACATCCTTATGCGAAAGACAAGCTCGCTCGGCCATTTCGAACACTGACCATATTTCATCCTCCCTCTCTGAAGCATTAATGTAAATTATAATAGGATTAATTAATAAGTCAGTTACATAAGCATAGCTGAATCAGAGCCCGAAACTTAAGGAATGCATCAACAAGACATACAAAGGACAAAGCGAAAGTATTCAACTCAATTCCTTACAATGACAATTATATCACTCACAAACAACCTTATCATTCTGTGTAGTTTATTTCGTTGTATGAGTTCAACCTTAAGGAGATGAGAATAGACCCAGTTTAAATGTAGACCATTGAGCAAAATATGTATGTGCCATATTCGAACTTATACAACTAACCGTTTGCAGCAGTATCACCATTTTGATTTTGGGCCAGTGTGATGCACTCCAGGAGCAATCGAATGGTCCACGCTTCGAGATCGTCATAGAATCGCTCTGTGGCCATTCTTGAAAGCTCAACATCACGCGTGAGGCGAACTCGTTCCAAAGTAAGCTCTTTAGGCAAATTGTTACCAGCACGAGCCATGAGCTGCAGTGCTTTCTGAACGTACTTCGGCTGCTTAGTGACGGTAGCTCGCTGTAGCACGAACTGGATATACTCTGTCCACAGGTCAATGTTTTCTTCACATTCGACTAAACCTTGCTCGAAAACTGTAAACGCTTCACCGACAGTTTTACTTGAAGTTGCTTTAAAGGTCCATAGAACAGACGAATTCAAAAATTGTTCCTCGATTCTGCAATTCGTAGTACATATAATAAATATTGCTGCTCAGCATAATCTCCAACAGACAGCCGAATAAATTTTTAATGTCTACCGCTGAAGTTACAACTACAATAAAATTAGACGTTCATTAGAATGGACATAGAAAGTACATTTAAGGTGTGTTACATTAGAATACATTTCGATTACTGCATCATGAGAATTTGGACACTGTCATTCTATTCTGAGCCGTTTGAATCCTTTAACTCACATTGGCAAGATTCTTTCGTATATGCGACCGGAATTCTTAACGCTTTTGAGAATCCGTAGCAGTTCGATTGCGAATTCAGCTCGTGGTATTTGTTCAATGGCGTGTCGAAAGACGATCAAGAGAATCTCTCCATCGAAAAGAGCGTCCCGTGCTTCCTCACTGTCTAGCTCTTTTTAAATTAAAAAAAAATTCTGTATTAAAGAACTATTTCGATTTAATTTATTACACATTTCGTTTTCAATTCTTCGCCCCATAATAACAACATTAAACTAGATATCTTAAAATGCTGGGATAGAAATAGCCGAGGCCCACTTAACCTAAATAAAGCAAGGTATGATAGGGGTTCTTACCGAGAACCTCTTGGCGCTTGTTGATTTTCTCCCAATAAGCCAACTCCATACGAAAGTACTCCGCCCAAAGGATACGACTATCCTTTAGAAACCGTAGGCCCCGTTGAAGCGTCTTTCGGGCAGAGTCTACCTCTCCGCGCTCCTCAAATTCGAATTTTGCGCAAGCCACCCACGCCTCAACCCGGTTTGGATAGAGCTGCAGCAGACGTGTGAATAATTGTGCAGCGTGTGACTTCCATCTCTGAAATTAAATAAACCATAAACGACACCAAAATCATGACATTGTAAGGCGTAGAACATAAAGTCAACCGGAGATCAATGTTCCTCATCTGCTGTATGGCTCGTTAATCGAAAAGAAATACTATGATAAATTGCTATGCTGTAATGTTTTGTGTTTAAATAGATAGCTAGGATACCAGATTGTCGTAGACATCCCGGGGTGTATTACCTAAAGCTAGCATCTTAGTACACGCTATTACTAAAACTAAATATTGTAGTCAATTTATTATTCCGCACTATCTTCCAACGCGTATTTTGAGAAGCACGTATCCTCATAATATGGACAACCGACCACAATAAAAAAGTACCTACTGACTGCAACGCGAACGGCAAATTTTCTTGCACATACACTTTTTGCACACGACTAATCTGCAAATGTCCCATAGCCACGGATGAATACGAACTCTATTCAAGCATCAGTAATAAATAAAAACTGTACAGCTTTATTGCTATTTCAGAATTCTATCAAAGACGCATGCACTTTTCCGTTCATTAAACAGTTGATAGAAAATCCTCGACAGTTAGCCTTCAGGCATCAGCCTAAAGGCTCTTCCAAATCCTTCTCGTCTACATGTGAATTCTCATTTTCGACTTCAGTTGCATTTCCCAGAGATTCAATAGTATACCTCACATTTTGAACAGTCGTAATAATTCTTTCCAACTCTATTTTCATATTAATTAGACGTTCCTTAGCCAAATGTACCTTACTGTACATGTAGGCCATTTTTTCTTCGATAGACAGTTTTAGCATGCATATGTTTTCACCAATCGTTTCTACTGAACTGTCTCCTTGAGCCAAACACTCACTCGAGGAACGAACCTCATTATCAGTAATAAATGACTGTTCCTGTTCGTCCCGTAGTTCGCGATTACGTTCAGTCAAGAGATTACTGTTCGCCGATACCAAATCCTTGGTATCCGGGTCCTTTTTCACACAATCTTCGCCTAACTGACCAGAACCGTTACCAATGAGGGCACATTGTGGAACGTCCATATTATTCCTCTGTTCCGTTATTGAAAGCTAATAAAAGCAATATCCATACATAATCAAAAAGTAGTCCCGCTTTCCTCTGAAAATGCCACTCACCACGAGCTTGCAGAACTCGATGTGCGAGAACCACAGCGAAATATCACCAATAAACTTATATTCAGCTTTCTGAAATCACAAAGAACGCACCTAAATTAGACGATTTGTTGCTGCGTAACTTTGTTGACGTAATGAAATGACAGAGTTTCCCTCTAGTATATATAATAATATCGATATAAATAAGAACTATCTCTTTAATTCAATAATCTTTAACCTTATAAATATCGTGTTGCTAATCGAATAGAAATAAGCTGTTAAATCATAAATAGAATAATTGCATTTCTCTTATCTTCCATAGCCATTTCAAATTTTGCAAATACAATTTTTCGTATATACAACTCCGTTACTGAAACAAATTATTGCCATTACTTTCACCAATGCGCGCTTTCAGTTTACGACAACATATTGGCAAGAGACAACACGGTAATCACCTCATGAGCCTAAAATACTAGAACTGCGGGGGTAACATCTAAGTATTCGGTATGGTTATCGGACTTTACATCTACGTTTATGTTTACTATGGGAAATCTGAAGTTTTACGAGGAACAAGATAGTGTATATATCAAACTTGTAATGATAAATGCAGAAACAGAAATCCTGGTTTACAAAATATAGGGAACCTTAGTCTTCAGTTTCTAAGTTTAAAAAGTTCTACAAGATAATTTTCATTAAAGTGACATTGTAAAGTATCAGGCATTTTTAAATTTCATCTTTAAGAATGAGCTTGTTTTGTGGCTGGTTTTACGTCCACCCAAAAAGTGAATGTTAAGTAATGTATGTCGCAATCCATAATTATGTTTCGAATCAAATAATTGAATAATACTCGTATTCGAATACAACAAACCTAACCAAAATTATAAAAACTTCTGTAGAATATTGTATAGACTATATTAGAAATGGCATGTTTCCAAAATATCTTCTGATACCATAGACTAGAGCATATTGAGGCATGAATGAGTGTTTTTAATGATGACCTTTAGGACATTATGTCAATTTAATCGTTGTAGTTCAAATCCATTGATGCAAAAGTTACTTTTTATATGACTTTTTTATTCAATGTCATTAGCAAAATAGAAGGCTCTCAAAACTCATGCGGTACAATAGGATTTTATGATGGATGATCGCTTTCTAATTTGAAGATAACATCTGATCGACAATCCGTCAATTTCATTATCTCAGGGGTTACAACGGAAGAACTCTATAATGCGCTCCAATATATAATACTAATTCGTCTGCGAACGACATATCTCAATCTTAGAAAGACACTGTTTTTTCTGTAGGATTTTTGAACGTGTAAGGCTGTAACTACCCAGGTAAACACGTTATCGAGATTAATTCCTATCCTGCATTTTTTGTTTCCTAGATCGGTGCACTGCGTCCATTTCATTTTAAAGGCAGTGCAGCCATGCTCCAATTATACCTCGAAAACTTGGCTGGAACTCAACCAAATCAAATTCTGCTAAGGTACGATGTAAGAACTGAGCATAATTCAACACAGTTCCCCGCTATAAAATCTTTAGTAACGAGTTGTTATTAAGTTACTTGTGGCACAGTTCATGCTATAGGTTTCCAGGAAATGCACCAGGAAAATTAGCCCAACGTTCGAATAAATAAAGGATTAATAAAAGAATAGAATTTACAGAACAAAAATCAAAACATAAACCATCGATGCTGCAGAACATCGTCATTATTCGATGCAATGTCTTCTTTTGGAGTTACATTTGGTACAGCAACAAACCCGAAAAAGAAGATCGATTCTTCGACTGATAGAATGGTCAATTTCACTTTTCTTGTAGGAAATCTTCATCCGTTCACGGCGCTTTTGAATTAGTCGATAAAGCGACAGTTCGTAGTTAATGTATTGAAGGAAGTCCGCACGAGATTTGACGAAACGCCGCAGCCGATGCTCGAAGTGTTTGCGACGCTTAACAATTGTCCTGCGAAAAAAATATATACAACATTAAAAATATACTATGTTAACTACCTACGTGTATGTACAACCTATATGGAGACTGATATCTCGGCAATATCTTCTGTTCGAGACTATGATTCGAAAAATCACGGTTTCACCAATCTGTTACTTCATATAAAATGAAAAACACATTGAACTAATTAATACTTCTGAATGGTTAACGAACCTCTACTATATATTATAGACCATGAAAAGTGCAATAAAAAAATGGTTAGCAGAAGCTGCTCCGTATAATGTGTCCCCTAGCTTTATCGATCTGTGGATACTGGGTCGTTCTATTAGTTTAGTTGTATATTGTTCAGTTATGCTTTCATAAATGTAGGAATCCATGCGACATTTTTATTAAATCAAGTTGTTTCGAGGCTAGGTCATTTTTGCACGTATTGGTACTAGGTTTTAAGATACATTAATTCAGAGCGTTATATTTTACGTATATTATTAGCTTTAGTATCGTGAAAACATGATTAGACAAACGAACACCCATAGGCGACCAACTCACTTAATTTCCAGCTTATCAAATAGACCTATGCGTTCAAGCTGTTCAAGTTCTTCTACACTTTGTTCTACATTTCGCAGGGCAATTTCCGCCATGTTGAACCAACTGTGATCATTTGAGGGGGACTTTCAGTTTGGTAAACGTACCGAACAGATCTCTTACAATTCGTCTATCAACTTTTCGAACGAGCAACTGTCCGCCATTTGCTTCTACACAATAGAACACCACCACACTACTCGCGCTCTATTTTTTGACTAGCACACGTGCGCTGCAAATGATACATAGAGGGAGCCACCCTAAAGAGAAAGAGGCATTACTGCGGGAAATTCAAATTTTATATTTCAGTTCTCAAAGCAAATTATTATTTTCTCGTACCGTTCACTTAAACGCAAGCATTTTATAACGAAGTTATAGACCCCTTAAAGGCGCGTAATATACCTTTTTCATATGTATGAACGATTTTTAGTTGCCCGATGGATTGAGAAGGTTACAGAAAAGTCAGCTATAATCATTGAGCAGTTTGTGGAAAAATCGCAGCTGTACTTAGTCGCCAAGTGCCGTTTATTTAATTAGTCAGCTACAACATATATAATTACAAGGTAACACTCAAAGATTACATCAATAACGCTTTATCAAGAAAATAAATCTTATTGCAAGAATAAATACTTAATTTTATTCCACTAAAGATGTTCTTCATGCTAATATAATTTAAAAAAATGTCTTAACTAAACGTGTAATATAGTACGTAATAACTAAAATTAGAATTACAATCGAAAAAACGAACTTTATGATTTCTCGATAGTTACGACCTTTTTCTAAAGGTCGTAAAAAGGGCGGCAGCTCTCCTCTTGATTTTATACATGTAAAATACATGATGATATCCAGTGTGCATAGGCCACGTGAATCTTGACTTTATCACAGATGATAAATTGAGGACAGGCACTCACAGCCGCTGTAACTTTAACCGTCCTCATTAAGATGAAAGTGGCTTCAAGCAAAGACCTAACAGTAACACTGATGTATTTTGAATTTTGTAAAATCAAAATTGACGGACTACGAATTCTATATTACAACGAGATTCTGCATTGTCAGAGATGGCACAGCGGTATCGTGGGTGCTTACCATTCTTCCGCACTGTGCTGAGTACAGCAAACTGGTCAAAAAAACCGTTGATGTTGGAGGTGGCTAATACCAAGGTAGTTAGCTTTTCAGAAATGACTTGAGCATATATCCGTGTGACCTAAATTTAGGAAGTTAAAAGATGCTACACTGAATAGCGCGTGTCCAATATGGACTACGACAACATAACTGTGAAAAATTTGCTGCTTGGTACCTGAATTTGATTCGAATTATTCTGTAAATGTCAGAAGAATCCATTTTTGTTACTCTGTGAGTAGCAAAAATGCCGATGCATATGCGAATGAATATGCATTGATCCCTTAGCAACGATGTCTTTCGATTCATTGGGTTTCTCTGGAAGATAAACCATTAAACATTCCAGCTATGGTCTCCCTAATACGAAGTGTAACTGTGCTTAAATTATAACTCCATGTGCTCAGTTTCTATAAAATTTATTTCACTTTATATATTTCAACTATAAATTGACAACTAATCATTCGGGCAATGAAGCATTGTCATATAAACATGTCCGATAAACGTTAACGATTCGAGCAACACATACCTCGAAAATTGAACCTGTGATAGTTGCATTTCTAATCTTACAATAATCAGAAAATATCTTAAACTGTTTGTAAAAATTAAGTCTGCACAATAATTCATCATAAAACCAAGTTAGAATGATCTTTTCCTTTTTAGCCAGAAAAATTATTTTAAATCAGGTACCTAAAACAGATTAACATTTTTCCTTATCTCTATATTCTTAACCATCAAAAATTTAATCTCGGCGGTATCGATGCGCCAGAAGCCTTTTATCTCAGCTCCTCTTCAAATTCTAAGTAAGTCATCATCATAAAGTTGCTCATGCTACCGAATGTTGTTAGCAGTTCACTATTGGAAAGGCTGGTGTGGTATAATCCGCAACATATGCGTACGTTGCAATAGAGAAATGTCATTGTTGCATTGTGACACCCGCACATGTAAAGTTCGTCCTATAGTCTCGTGATAATGTGACATCGATCAATGGATAGATATTTTGTTCACTATCAATTGGGTTGCTGATATAGCAAAAGACAATGTTCGTATCTATAAATGTGTGGAGATTATGTTCTAGGGGAATGTCCTGAATGGTAATTAAAATTAGTTAGTATTCGCAACGGTATAGCTAATTATTACTATTAATATTAAGTAAAGAACAAACATAGACTCAATGAGGCAGACTTCGCTTTTTGATTCTATCAGCTCTTTGCTTTTTGTCGTCAGCAGACACAGCGGGTGCTTATGTGGTACATTACGATAGAATATTGAACAACTGCACAACTTGATATTGTGCTCGATAGAATCTTTAAATGGAATCATACGAAATGCACTGGCCATCTGTGTTAGCAGATCTAAGCAGATCTTTGGTATTGGCAAAATTGCATTCCATCATATTATGTACTAGAATTTCACTTGCAACTTTTTGAACATCGATAATCTTTTGAATTGGTTTCATATTTTATGTGAAAACTCTCTTATCCCACAACGATAGGCCTAGTTGCCCTTTCCTGCCCCAGTTTATGTGGTGAGCCCTTCTGCAGAAGGGCAAAATGCTGCTGCTGCTCCTGCTGTACGGTGTTACAAGCTAGTCTGTTTTTTAAAATTTTATAGGGAAATTTTCTCTGGAAATGGTGCGCCTTCATTACGTTACTCATAACAAAAAGCAAGGATCGCTGAAATATACGCTCGTCTTCTTTGCTGAGCTTGACATTTGCTCAGGCCCCACCTTGCATCTCTAAAGCTCGTCTGTTTTCTTCCATGTACTAATTAAATCTCAACTAGAATACGGCAGCTTACATTGTGCACTCGTCGTAGTCTATTTTACCTCCCCTCTTAACTGTGCTATACTATTTTCCGCAAGAAGCTAGCGCTTGCATTTACTTTATTACACGTGGCCTAGCTAGCTATTTGCTGTGCAAACTATCCATAGCTTACTACTACGCAGCTTTCGGGGGTGATTCACCTGCGGCTCTCGATTTGTCCGAACCACCTAAGTAGTGGTACTTAATAAACCTGCCAAATTGCGTAAGCTGGGCTCCTTCGTTGGTGAAGTGGCAAGCAAATAGGAGCATATTTCTAGGCTCAACCTTAATCGCGAACCTCATAAAGACTGCGGAGTATACGGCCAATGCTGTAAGTGGAACAATTGAAAACGTCAGCAAAATGTTCTGCAGCAAAATAATACTGCCGGAAAGAACCGTAAAAGTCATTAAAATAATATTGTCTGAATTCTATACCCTATTCAATGCTTAACGTTATTAACTTAACACTTAACTGGCTCATTCGCTATTCATCATGAGCGGTACCAAAGACTTTCTTGTCAAAGAAATTAACGGTGTAGAAGGGCTTGAAGTTTCGATGGGTAACGTAACTGCATCTCTTACGGGATGACAGCCTGATACGCTATCGTCAGACTCTCAATTTTTCAAAGTTCACCATTTTGAGAGTCAGCGACCTGCCAGAAACACAAGCCACTGCAGATTATGATAAACAATTTGCTCCATTGTAATTTTTGGCGGAACTGTTATCAAGTAGGCCATGAATATAATCTACTTGTTTTATTTCAGTTGTCTCTATAGGTCTAGCGGAGAGCTTCGAATGTCAATGAGCTGTATATTAAAACGGTGTTTAATTACGTTGATGGACTAAAGGGAGCAGCGGATTTGAGTAGATTAACAATTCGCCAAACCTGAATTATTTCCAAGAATATCAGAAAAAAATGCTTTATGAGAGAACTGTGTAACAATATATAGGTATATAGGTAACAGTATATAGGTGCCCTCGTGAAGACAACGTAGTAGCAAGGCGTTTGCTTTCTTAACTGAATGACATTAAGTCATGAGAGAGTTTAAGTTCGAATCCAAGCGTAGACACAATTCGTTTAAAGTTGGAAGAAGCCAGTTGTCTGAAGCAATGGCAATAGCAGACGTGAAATTTAAAATATTTAACGATCGATACATGCCATGAGCAACACAATATAGATACAATGATTAAGCGTGTGGCTAACCACTGGTACAAACCAAGGGTCATTTTTCCGCTGATGAACTCCGGGTCTTTTTTGATATCGACGAGAGCTGCTAATGGCAGACCCCAGTTGGCTACGGGGCCCCAAAAATGCTGCAAATGAGAATGAACATGAATAGAAAAATCAAGAAATCAACTAAATGTTTTTGTAGAGTAAAGGTTGATGATCTAGAGCCTAGTGAATAGAGTTCTTAAAGCCTATTAATCAACCCAACATTATAGTAATTAGATATATGTATATTTCTAATCTCATATAAAAACGTAAGTTTTTTGAGACCAAATACATACAAGATGACCCATTACAATAATGGCTCTTCTCTGATATTTGTGCGCTTCAGTGCTTTCATTAAGTTTTACAATTTTACATAACGACGTGTTTTGCTAACTAACAATTCGGATTAAAGGGGAGGAATAATGATGGGAAATGGCAGGCCTAAGTCCGTCTGCCATATCACCTCAATGACGTGATTAGGCTGAAATGTTGATCGACGAAACGATGCCGACAAGAAGAGATGCGGGAAGGGGGGTCAATGCTAATAGCGCCACAACACTCCATAAATGACAGTTAACTCACACAGTAATTCACTTACCGTGCTATCATCATGCACCATTTGAAGCGATGAAACGCCCACACAGATGAAAGCATGAAAGGCAACGACAAAAAACTAAGCATATATATTACGAATAAACGGCGAAAACTTGCTCGGTAGGTTCATGTTTTGACGACACAGACGTCTTCATTTGATCCGCGCTATTTCTCTCTATCAAAAGTATTGTTACATCTTCGAGTAGACAATTAACAACTTCGGCTTAATGAGTTAGTAGAGTAATTAGATTTACGTACTTGACATACGTATTAGGTTTTCTATTGACCTATCTATTATCTTAAACTATAATTGATTTTGTATTATGATAATACATTATAAGACCCTTCTAAGCTCTTGCGTTATGTCTTGTACTGTCATTTGCGACCGTTGCGTTCTGTACCACTCTTTGAAATGCCCTTCCGTAAAAAGGACAATTTGTTTGTGAGGTAAACCATTCGTTTGGGCGTTTTTCGAAAAACGTCAATTGATTATACAGATAGCTTCTGTTGACCCTTAGCCCGGGATTTTTATTCCGCTTCTATTTTCTACAAGCAATCGAAATTTTTTAAATTCACCACTATAATGGTTTCTGTCTAAAATAACGTCACAGTTCAAGGTCTCCAAAAATAATCTCGGGCGATCGGAACGAATGATCGTTGTATGAAACAGCACGTCGCAGATCTTGTTCAAGCTTGAACAGGCAAAGTTGCATTTGCAACGATCCGTCTTGCCACTGTCAGCCACTGACCTGCATAAATAATTTCGAAACTCCTTCGATTTGAGCTGATTCAACTGCCTGCGCACAAAAGCTGCCATCGCGCCTATACGGAAGCTTGTTCACGCAGGGCGATAAACAAAGGTTCTCTCGAAGGTTGTATTGATATTCTGCGCTAATGGGCGCGAACAGACAAAGAGGTAATAGTGCTTTGTCTGACCGCACTGACTCCTATCTGCTACTCCTGGTTTGGTCGTTCGCCGTTGACCAACAATTAGTTAGTCGGCGGTAGCATAGGTAAGTCATGATGGCCAACTAGCACGATACGGCTGGCTGAGGAAAGAGCCACGCTAGGCAGCAACCCGCCATTTGCAAAACGAGATAACGAACTGTCAAATCGAAATTTTCACAAACGATAAAACGTATTGATTGATCGATTATTAAGCGTAAAACAAAACAGTGCTAGTTACCGAACGAAGGGTTCGGTGAAGCAAAATTTTAAATAAATGTAAGTATAGTATGTCAGTGGGGTACAGATTCAGTCGGAAATTTTTCGTTCACCAAACCTAGAAATGCGGACGGGTCATGGGGAGTAGGTTACCAGCGTCACGCTGAACCGGCCGTCTAATAGGCACTAGTTTCATAAACCTCGTTTACATGAATCTGATTTTTTTTACAGCAAAACAGTGTGTAATAAATTAGTCTAACAAGTTGAAGTATTTTAGTGTAAAAGTGCTCGTTCAGTTTTTATCTATGATGTCACTACGGGATAGAGGTATAGGAATGAATATACAATTAATATAGGCTTATTATGTGACCCGAAGGGTAACAAGAAGAACCGTGTAGTTTAAAATCGTCGGCATAAAACTTATGAGATACTGTTTTTCGAGTAAGGTCTTTTATGTTTTGAATAGAAATACAAACATCAAACGAGAGACAAATATAATTCCCGCACCAGCCCAGACACGAAAAGGCAGGTTTTATTAAAATTGCTATGGACTGGAACAAAAGATAAGCATTTCTAAGGATAATGGCAGTATTATCACATTAATAATCGCCAGCTTTTTTTTTGGTGTCTTCAAGTCCGCCCATAAGTATAGAATGATTAACCTTATCAAACGATTTAAAGGGTCGAAATAGATATAGTCATAATGTATTTACGATCTATATTGATCTTGGACCATATCAATAAACTGCTATATTTATAAGGCCTGAAGCATGTAAGACGGAGGCTTGCATATTGTTACCCTACCTATTTTGTAAAAAATAGGAAATTTAGGTCAGGTTAAGTGAAGGGATTTACGTTCATTGAAAGATATTCTATTTTGGTTACTATTTGTCTCGGTGATAATTAACGCAAAGGTATTCGTTGTCAAATCACGAACTTGCAAAATGTTTATTCCCTTTGGCAAAAGCAATCTAAGAAGTGAGTAGTGCTTTTATCATAGTAGTCCATCACATTCAGTACATCAATAACCATGAATTTTCTTATGACGTCCACATGATGAGCGTGTGCTCGGATTTACTCATCAGATCAGACGATAACTGGAGCAATAATAACAATAACAATCTTAAGGGACATGTTAACAACAACAGCTCAAATAGCTAGATCGTCGTTGAATCCCTGTTTACGACCAAAATGGCGTACGAACCACAGTTCTATGTGGCTACTTCCACCAGCCACGTGCGAATCTATGCGGTTCTGCATTTGCAGATTTGTCGAACTTAATTACCACAGTGATTTCTAGCTACGTTACTACGAAATGTACGTTACTATAACTAAAAGAAAGATTCACATCTATCGACAAACAAAAAAAAAACAGGACCAGATTATGTATTTTTGTTCTTTAGGTTTATCAATAATTTTGGAAATTGTAACTTGAAATTGAAAAGTTTGATTGCAAGAAGGGCAAGTCTTCCAACGCGTGGTCGAGTAAATAAAGAATAACTTTTGGCTGTATTTATTATTTGGCTGTTTTTCTTGAGGAAGTTACATTTATTCGCATTAAACGACGTTTTGTTTGAAGACCATGTTCAAGTAATCATGTATTTGCGAACCAATGATTGATATGCAGGTATATGCATACCTCACTATCCCATTTTCAGCACTGTGGGGCGTCCGAGGGTCTATGTGGGCCCACACATGCTCTCCATAAGCAATTGAATTGTGTATATATGCTGAATGGAAGTTGAATTACAAAGTAAAAATTGTAACTTTTATTCTATAATTCGAACGTATGAACACATCCTCACGGGCAAACAGAATATCATATGTGCCTCGAACTGTTTTGCTTTGTAAGCAAATTTCTTACATATATTTTAAATATAGTTGCATTTATGATTGTTATAATTAATAATAATAATAATAATACTTCACACTGTTGCAGTCTCCAGATGAAGTTTCCATTTAATTCTGTTGGGAAAGCCCTAGATCCACCAGAACCCACTTCGAAGAAAATCCTAGTAGGGGCAAGTCCCTAATGCCATATATAAGGTGATGATCCTGAGAACTTGTTCACATAAAGAAGTCAGTTGAAGATGTCAAAAGAAATAAATGATAAACTATATATGAAATTTATCGTTTGCGTCGTTGGTGACGAAGATCGGATATTGAAGATAGATCGGTAATGTAGTCTGATATATTTTCACTAGGTAAAGGTATCCAGTACGAATCAACAGCGTCATTGTCTTAATGGTAACTTCTAAGAGCAACGATATTATACAGATAGTGATTCTCAAACAAAAAAGGGAGCTAGGACGCACACAGGACTGCAACGAAAAAAGCCAGTTAACTACAAGTCATTGTCAGAACTGTGGGTCGTATTCGAATTTTGAAGCCATGTAAAAGACGAAAACCGCTAACCAATTCCCGTTGCGACACGCAGGTCAGTTATAAAGTGAAAAGCAATTTCTACTCGACAAAATTTGTTAACTTACCCTTAACTCCAAACGAAGATAAACAAATGTGTAATGATCAGTCTACCTCATTTTTACCCGTAATTTATCGTTCGCATGAATAACGAAAACCATTGAGACAGTTAGTGATTATAGGCACATCAAAACGTTACAAATCTAATAAAAACATCTTACTAAAAATAAGCAAGACATGGCATGGATAATCATAAACACACCAAGCTGATATAGTAATAGTAGTAATATCATGGATACAGGCTATTGCGGTATTGAAACAACGAGTCTTTATTGCCAAAATGGTTGAGTCAGTTATTATTGATTTTGTTGTACGAATCATTGTCTAATTCATGTATTGGTTAAATGATAGTTTTATAGGCTGAAGTTGTCTTTTTTTTTATTTAAAATAATGATAAAGTCTATTAGGTTACGTGACCTGTGCTTATGAGCGTGAAGTAAATAATCCGAGCATCGAGATTAAACATATTCCTAGAAACATGATTAAAATAAAGCGGAAATCTGAGCCCTAATGTATAGTTCTAAGGCTCTGAGGAAATTCGTAATAGTATAGACGTGGTTTGTAGATTTGAGACAATTTGTAATTGCGCATAGTCTTGAGTGACCCGTCATGGTGGCCTAGAAGAATCTTCAGCACAGCGGCATTTGTTCGATTTTTTTTTGCTTATTACCCCATCCCCTCAGTTATGCCCCACACTGATTTTGTCTGAACTAATCTAATTCTACCTGGAGTCAGCACCAAGATATTAATGTAGTGCTATCAAAATATAACAAGTTGATTTCGTGCGAACATGAGTTACTTCTATAGATGAACACAGCCTATTAAGCCCAAGGCCGTCTTTTTTTTAGGCCAGATAGGTCAATACGTAGCCGAGCGCATTGAAGCAAATCATAACTAAGATAAACACGCAGCTTTGATAACTTGGATGGTAGACATTTCGACCAAGTGATGTCATAAGTTGGCACAATGGAATTTAAGACCTGCTAAAGAAAAATTATGTCAGTTTTCTAGCAGATCATTGAACAACTACTATGGTACAGAGAATCGATAGGAAATCCCAAAATGTAGGCAAGATGACAAATAAATACACTATAATCAGAAACATTTAAGTTCGATTTGAATATATTATTATGTTTGTATTCGGTTTCGCGATCCGCGCATTCATAGTGTACATCCCTTTACATTGTATATAGTACGCTGACACGCAATATGACATGTGTTCTATATAAATATGTAATCCTTAACACTGTCTCCTACGTTGGCATGCAGTACGTGTTATAGATTTACAGAATCATTTTGCATACAAAAGCC